ACACCCTGTGTTTTGGAAATGCTTTCTCTCTGGTCTCAGCATTGGCTACTGCAGGTGGTCATCATAACCAGAGAATGGTGTGACCACAACTGGCTTATGCTAAGTATGTGCCTTCCCTGGTGATAAGGCCATGTTTCTTGAGCAAATGCTGCCTGGACAAAAATGGGTTTTATTGGCAAGAAAGAAAGTAGGAATGACAATTGGGTAGGCAATCATCTCAACCACAGCAACCAAAATGTTCTGTCTGTGGATAATAATTTTTAAAAATTGAGTGAATTTGGACCCTGGCAGTGTTGCTCAGCAGTTAGAGCCCTGGCCCACATATCAAAGGGTTGGAGGTTCAATTCCCGGTCAAGGACATGTATGTGGATTGCAGTGCAGGTTCCATCCCTAGAACATGCAGGAGGCAACCAATTGTGTCTCTCTTACATCCATGTCTCTCTCTCCCCCCATCCCTCCCTTCCACTCTCTCTAAAAATCAATGGGAAAAATATCCTCCGGTGAGGATTAACAAAACAAAAATATTGAGTGAATTTGGTTAAAAAGTAAGACTTTATTGACTACAGTCTATGGCACATTTGGGACATCAGTGTGACTCTTACAAAGCAACATATTCTCTCCTTGAATGAGTTTATGACAACCTCCAGGGAGGAAAAAAAATCTAATTTTGTTATACATGTTGGACAAGGCTTAGGATGCTAATTTGGGCTTCTGGTTTTCAAAACAACAGATTGGTAAGTGGAGTGTGCAGTAAATCTTCTCAGTAAGAACTTGTTTTAAGTTCTAGGAATGATGGGTCTCCTCCATTTATTCTTCCATTAAAATATGTTAAAAGCAAGTCTGTAATCATCTGTTCTACCCACATGGAAGAAGCCCGATCGTCTCCTAGGTGAATGCCCACTTCTGAATGTACTGAGGCAGCTCACCTATCTGCTCCGAATGTGGCTGTTTCAGAAGGAAACAGCTGAGTACAAACCACAGCAGGGCACTTCTTTCCTTCCCCACGTGTCTGTGCTTCGAAGGGAAGTGCCCGCAGCCCACCATGTAGGCATGCGAGATAGGCTGCCCTGAATAGCACAGAGGAGACCAAGCATTGTGGGCTAACTGAGGGCACCTCAGGACCCACTGCCGGCCTCAGTCCAAGGTGACTGTTCAAGCAACCAGCAGGTGGTAACCAGGACAAGTAACACCCTCGTAGGGACTGCCCAAGATGCGGCAGGAGGGGGTGGGCTCCCAGCGGGCAAGTGCTGTTAGATAACACAGCTGCAATTTCATTCGCAAGATCTGTTCACGTTTAAAACTCAGGGATATCCCAGTGTTTCGCTAAAACGTCTATAGAAAGCTGCTATTTTCCAACCTGCTTGTAAAAGGGGCATTGGGGAAGAGCAAAAGAAGGGAAATTTCCTACTGTTACAATAGAGGAACTCTAGCTGGAAGCCCAAACACTATGTCAAAGGATTAAATGAAGTTAAATAAAGCACATTTTCCTTAGGTGTGGAGTTGTCCAAGGCCCCAAAAGAAGGAAAGTTTTCCCACTGGGTTCAGAATGGGATTCTAAAAGAACTTGTCAAATTGCTGTCTGGCTTCCTGGGCCCTGGATCCATTTTCTCTCCCCTGGGGGCTTAGTGGTAACAGTTGAGGAGCTGTGGACTGGGGATGAAGACGAGAGCCACAAACTTAATAACCTCTTTGGGTCTCTTCTTGAGTGCTAAAATAGGGCCCATTTCACAAGATTACTCAATATCAGCCCAGCTGGTGTGGTTCAATGGGTGAGCATCGATCTATGAACCAGGAGGTCACAGTTTGATTCCTGGTCAGGGCACATGTCCTCGTTGCAGACTCGATGCCCAGTAAGGGGCGTTCAGGAGGCAGCCGATTAATGATTCTCTCTCATCATGGATGTTTCTATCTCTCTCTCCCTTTCCCTTTCATATATATATATATATATATATATATATACACACACACACATATATATACACATATATACATATACATACACATATATATTAAATGTCTTTTATACTAAACTTTCATATCCAAAGCCTTACAAATCTTTTTGATTTTGCAAGGTTTTCTAAAACACTCTTTAAAAGGATTTATTTAAAGTAAATAATGCTTATGCATTAAATTAGTAGTTTTAATTTTATGTTTAAAATTGTAATATAAGGGAACAGTCAGAGGCCATCGCCCTAGACTTGAGGTCTGCACTGCACAGAGAAAAGTAGAAATTCTTCTGTCACCTGAATATCTGTACTGTAACTCTGATCCTATTCCAGCTTTTATCCAATGAAGATAATCTCCATTTTGCAATATTGTTGTGAGACACATTGTTATAATTATTAACACGGTGTCCCCAGACATATGAGTCAGTTCTGTGTTTCTTACCTCATCCCAGCCTATACAATGGAGAGCCTAATGTCTCCATTAGATGCAAAGGTGAACGGTTTGAGCAACATGTGAAACCACTTTAGAAAGTGTCTATAACTCTGCACAGTGTTTTGAGTTGAGCCATTAGCGCAGGTGGCATTAGATACCTGGCTCTTCCGGGAGATAGGATGCTAGCCTGAGGCCCTCATGCTTTTCTAATGAGAACAGCCTGGGTGCCCTGATGTACTCCAAGTTCCGTTCTCTCTCGTCAGTGGACCCAGCAGCGCTCCCTCCTCTATTCTATGACGGGAATAGAAGTGGGAGGGAGAGCAGAGTTTAACGATCCTCAATTACCTGCTCCAGTACTTAGTGTCCTCCAAGAAATCATCTACCCCCTTTCTCAGCCACAGAAGAGAAATATAAAATAGAGGCCAACCAATGATTAGTACAACTTCTGACTTAAAATAATTGACCGTGGGCCCGACTGGCATGGCTGTGGTTGAATGGTGACCTATGAATCAGGAAGTCATGGTTTGGTTCCTGGTCAGGGCACATACCTGAGTTGTGGGCTCAATTCCTAGTAGGGGGTGTGCAGGAGGCAGCCGATCAATGATTCTCTCATCATTGATGTTTCTATTCTCCCTCTCCCATCCTCTCTGAAATCAATAAAAATATATTTAAAAAATAATTGACCATAGTTTATCTCTCATTTAAATTACTTTCAAGATGTACAGACACTGTCTGGATGACTCTGGAAGAACTGGAGATCAATGGCCTGAGTCATGCTAAGAGCAGTTAGGCATCTTTGGGGATTCAAACTGTTGGGAAGTGGAATACATCTCCCCTCCTAGAGTGAGGGGGCCCTGGGAAGATGTGCCCTGACATCCTTCCAGGTCCAAACGAATGTGTGAAAATGATACTGTGGTTCCAACAAAATAGATTGGCGTCAAATGAGAAAAACCACAAGTAAGTCTCAAAGGTTCGCGTGTGTGCAGGGGTGGAGGGGTGACTCTTAGGAAATCAGGCTTCGTTAAAATGTGGTTTTACTCCCTTCTCCTTGAAGATGCGCTCCCTTTGGACTCTTGATAATTCCCTAAAACACAGCCATCTCAGTGCCTACAGAATATTCAAGACGAAAGAATCATCTCAGCCAACCCCCATACAGTGCAGATGAGAATTCAATTCCTAGACTTCTGGGCTTGGTCTATTTCCTCATAGATTTGTCAGCTGGAATCTTACCTGTGAATCGGCTGTTTATGAGGTATTTCAAAGCTGGGACTGTAGCATACTTTTCTTTTTTTTTAAAAAAACCACTATTTTTTTTTTTATTTCATAGAGGGAGAGAAACATCAATGATGAGAATCATTGATCAGCTGCCTCCTGCACACCCCCACTGGGGAATGAACCCGCAATCCGAGCATGTTCCCCTGACCAGGAATCGAATCCTGACCTCCTGGTTCATAGATCAAAGCTCTCAACCACTGAGCCACACTGGCCAGGCCTTACTTTTCATCTTACATGCAGCTCAGCTCCTAGTCTACGAGTGCTGTTAGGCCAAGGGAAAGAACAATGTCCCGGCTGTCCCTTCATAGGGTTATGAACATGAAAATGGCCGGCACGCTCAGTATTCCCTGCAACGAGGAAGGAGCCACAGCCCTGACCCACCCAGGAAAAGGTGAAGAGGCTTTCAAGGACCCACAGGACGACTCATCCAGCCCTTCTGAGTGGAATCTTCCAGTCACTGAGGACAGCCAACGAAGCTGATGGGCTGGCCCCAGCGAGGTCTGCTCGGGGCCATGCCCTTGAGCACATGGCAGCCTCAGGATGATTTGTGATAAGGACACTGCACTGGACCACAACCTCGAGCAATTGGAGAAACGGGAGGAAAGTCAGGGTGTCAGCTTTCAGTACATGAATACCAAGCAGTTTAGTATCACAGCAGCATTATCCAACAGAGGCCACCTTGCAAAGGACGAGGTTAAAATACAAATGAACACTGGTCAAGGTTTATACATCAATCTGAACCGAAAGCCAAGAGCAAATGATCTTTTACTAACTCATGTCCTGGAAAATTTTTTACCCTGATTCAAGGACACTAGGTCTCGGTCCAAAGTTTTTAGATTTGGTATGGCTCATAATGCCTGCATATTTTCAAAACCCTGTCATCAGCCCAGCTGGCGTGGCTCAGTGGTTGAGCATCGACCTATGAACCAGGTCATAGTTCAATTCATGGTCAGGGCTTGGTCCCCAGCGTGGGGTGTGCAGGAGGCAGCCAATCAATAATTCTCTCTCATCACTGATATTTCTCTCTACTTCCCTTCCTCTCTAAAATCAATAAAAATATATTTTTTAAATAAACCTGTCATCAAAATGAGCTGGAAAATACCACATACTCATATCAAGATATGATTTAATGGGGACATACAATATGGTAGATACTGGCTGGACACAGTACATTCCCATATAATCTTCATGGCCTATATTCCGAATCACCTTTTACTATAACTGAGTATGTTAACCCACTACATACACTAGTATTACTTGCTGGACTGGTTTCACTTTTGTAAGAGGTTTTTGAAGTTGGCAAGAAGTGGTCACAATATTCATAATGCATTTATATTTAGGAATCATTTTGATAGAAACAAAGGTGATTTTTTTATTAGAAAGAAAAAAAGCCTTATTTTAATATAACACCACTGTTTGTGAGAATGTACATCAAACCGGTCTTAAGAAAACAAAAAACATCACAATGACAGAAAATTTGAAATATTACATCTTTGAGGAGCCTGCAACCAGGCCACTTGGAAATAAACATACAGCTCCCACCGCCACCACACACAAATATGTACATGTTGTAGAAGCAAAGGTTTAGAAAACACATGGGAAGAGAAGGGTGGACACAGCGATATGTGTATATGTGAGCATGTTTTCCTTAGGAACATGTAACATGGTTTTCCTTCATTTTACTCAGCTCAAAGGAATTCTCCATCTGAAACTATCTCATGCCCAACACTAAACATAGGAAACAGCGTAAGGCAAGTTTCCATTTTCCTGGGAGCTGTTCATTGGAAAAATGTTTCGCATTTTTTTAGTATGAAATCCACACACAAACAGAAGTTATATGATATAGCGCTTGCCACTCAATGCCACATTACAAAAAGCCTCCCTTCTACACTACAATTTCCAGCTCTGAAGAGTGTAATGAGGAAGGTGATCGGGGCTTCCAAACTTTTCTAATACTTCTAACGGGGGATCCAAAGAGTTCAATGTAGTGAGATGGACAAGGAACTGTTTTCTTCCCACTGACAAGCCCCTGTCGGCCACCTGCCAGGGTCCTAACACACAAGTCTCTTCTACTGGACCCGACAGTTCTCGTTGGGCTTGGTACCGGCTTCTGGGCTGGGGGCGGGCTGGCCTCGCTTGGACCTCAGGCCCTCCCTGGGGCTGCCAGCCGAACGTCTCTCAGGAAGGTTACTGACCGAGAGAGGTCTTGCGGGGGGTTCTCGGAAGATGCTGCCTGAATCCGCTGGGCTCTGCTGAGCAACCTTGACCTGCAACACAAGCACCTTTGTTAGAGTTTCAATCACATTTCTACAGTATGAACAATCCCTTGTCATCAGATTTAAGGCTATTCTTCTTCCCCAGGAGTTGTACATAGTTTTACCATTTCTTCTTACCTCAGAACAGGCCCTACCTACCAGCGAGGACGATGTCAAACGTGACCTCCGATGAGTCACCTTGCAAACTGTCCTCGACGCCTCTGATGGGCAGAGACGTGCTCCCAGGCCAGTGTGACACCATCAGCCTGGAGGGCAGCTCTCTGAGGGCAGAGACTAGTCCTCGTTACCGCCGTATCCCTTGTGCCCACAATATGCTTGACTACCTGGCAAACATTCAATATACACCTCAGAGAACCCAAACCAGCTTCCGTTTACCCTAACTGAACCACTTCTGTTATTCAAATGAGTAAAATCCAAACGAGAAATACCACCTCCACCGGGTATAAGCCTTATCTACAACATTTCAACGACCCACCACCTATTCCTCAGATAACGGCACTGTTCTCCTGCTCCCTGCATCGTTGTTCGGCTTCCATATTGGGTTTGGATTGGAGCCGAAGGGCAGCCATCTAATAATCACGTCTGGTGACAGTAAATCTTCGTTCTGATGACTGGCCTTTTAGAGCCAGAAGGATCTCAGAAAATATGAGACTTAGAAGCCAAGCAGAGTCAAGACCTTTTCTGAGGGTTACACAGTAGCAAAAGAAGACGGGGGGGGGGGGGGGGGGGGGGGGGTCGAAGAGAAAGAGGAGCAAGACAGCCGACATGCACCAAAACTCCACTAAACCAAAGTTAAGGGACGGGTGGGAGAGTCAGGTAGGAAGATCTTTAAAAAAAACAAGAGGACAGGCCCTGACAAGGGCCACGCGTGCCCAGCACCGACCGAGAAGCAGCTCAGTGACTGTCACTTCCTGTCAGTGGCCACCAGGGACCTCCCTCTGCCGCAGTAAGAAGAATGGAAATTATGTCTCCATTTATATTCTTTCCATAGGAAGTATGTGGCTTTAAAAGGCAGCTAAATACTTTTCATTACAGAAAACATAGCAAATCTGGCCAACAGATCAAATCCCTGGAAAGCTCGCCCCGACCTCAGATTATGTGCAGGACACGTAAAAGGAGCAGCAGCCCTGAAGGGCCAGGACCAGGACTCAGTGGAAAATCACCGTCATGGAAAGTTGAACGGAAAACAGTTTTATGGTACTTTTTTAAAAAGTAGAAAGTGATATAAAAGGCAGGCGTTTCCCTTGAGCCCATCAGATGCAGAAGATTCAAATTTCTAGGTCCATCATGGAAGACAGAGACAGAGAGAGAGAGAGAGAGAGAGAGAGAGAGAGAGAGAGAGAGAGAGAGAGAGATCACATTGATTCTCTTTTCTGAGCTAATAAAATTCTTTCTTAACCCCAGTTCAATAGCCAAGGTCCATCCCTGGACTTCCCCCACCTCTAGGTGCAATTTCTCTGATACTGGGTTGAGGAAATTAGAGTCCGTGATCATTTTAAACCATAGATTTGATCCTCATGTTGGTCAGTTAGCCTCAGATTGTGAATAATGAGATGAGGTCAAATTCACCAAGTACTTAAACTCCTAAGGGCACAGAAACCCTGACTGTCTTACAAGCTATGTCTGCAGCCCGAGGGGGAGAGAGCGAGGATGCGGACGGCTCGGTGAAAAGGGAACTCATCAGAAGGAAAAAAACTCAAAGTCCCACTAAAGTGGTGACTGACTGATGCTGCGGTGACGCTTCACTGTCCCCCACAATTCAGTGGCCCACCCACCGGCACCGAACAACCCCAGGTTCAGATCAAGTCCGCACACGTCAGACTTCCTGGTCCCCAGGAAATGAGGAGCGCATGGGTTTACTCATCCAGAGACATAACAGAGACTGACCCTCACCTAATCTGCATTTCAGCCACCATCCCCTCTGAACTTGTCAGATGTCACTGAGGGTCCTGCTAAATGACCTAGGGCAGCCGTGGGCAAACTACTGCCCGCGGGCCGTTTGAAATGAATAAAACTATTGAAAAAAAAGACCGTACCCTTTTATGTAATGATGTTTACTTTGAATTTATATTAGTTCACACAAACACTCCATCCATGCTTTTGTTCCGGCCCTCCAGTCCAGTTTAAGAACCCATTGTGGCCCTCGAGTCAAAAAGTTTGCCCACCCCTGACCTAGGGAGTCATCTCGCTCAAAACTCAAGCCAGTCACTTCAGGTGAAGGCTTGTAATCCTGGGTTTCTGAGCAGCCGCTTTAGGAAAATGATGCCTTGCTCTATATTTTTCAAGCTGAATAATGAAATATGCTTAACAGATGAGGCAAGCATTTTATAAGGCAACTCGGAAAATACCGAATTAAATTAAAATTCAGCAGGCTGGGTTTTGAAGTTTTCATCTAATCACAAAGTCTCCTATAACCTCCTCTCAAGAGGGACTCCCCCCATTCATTTGCACACGTGCACAAAATTGCTTAGCAATTCATAACCACTGGTGCCTCCCGCCGCCTGTAGCGAACACACACGGGTTGCAGAGCTGCAGGAAACCATGGTTACGACTTTGCGCTCAGCAGATTCAACAGCAGTGTGGAAAGCAGGCCCCCTAGTGTGCAAAGCCTGTTTTCCAAGATAAGTCTGAACTCCACATGCAAACTGCTATACCATCACTTCCTCATCAGAGGAGGGAAAAGTGACCCGTGTGGTGATTTCATGAGATGATTTCCTAGCACATCTTTAAAGCCTCTATTTATTATTGCAGTCCCTTCAGGACAACAGCAACAGCTCCACCCACTCAACACACATCTGCTGAATGTGAGATGCTGCATTAGACATGGGACACTGGGAAAGCATGAACATAATCAATAACCTCACAGCCCTAGCTGGTTTGGCTCAGCGGGTAGAGCTTCAGCCTGCGGACTGAAGGGCCCTGAGTTCGATTCCGATCAAGGGCACAGGCCGGGTTGCAGGCTCAATCCCAAGTAGGGGGCATGCAGGAGGCAGCCCATCATTGATGTTTCTATCTCTTTATCCTTCTCCCTTCCTCTCTGAAATCAATAAAAACATATTTTTTTAAAAAAAGAAGCTTACAGAACTCACTCTGCAATTCAGAAGGCAGATTTTCAAGCAGGCAATTACAATAAAGTGGACTGGCATAACATAATGGGAGTACTTACTACCTAGTCATGATTTTCTGCTTTAGGAGCCAAATACTTCACTTGATCCCCTAAATGTGGGACCAGCAGGATGGGTATTCGTGTGCACTGAGGAAGGAGCAGCTGCCAGCCAGCCTTGGCCCCGTCAGGACCTAAGCCTGACTCCTGGGTCATCTTACAGGTAACAGCTTTGGTCCAGCTCGGAAGCTTCACTCTTTAGAGCACTGGTTGCTTTATGGAAAAGCTGTTGTTATGGTCGCTGGAGGGCCAGGGCCTATCGCAGTATGCTCTCTGCAGTGTTTTGTTGTTACCAGCACCCAAAAGTTAAATCTAAATGTGAGAGAGAGAGGGAGAGGAAGGAATGGGGGTAACTGATGGAGGAGGGGAAATCCTTGCACAAAATGACACATTTTTTCTAATACAGACTTGAACGAGTGAAAGAAGTTTCAGACCTTTCCTCCTCACCCCTGAATTTTAAGAGCTCAGTGGGCGCAGTGTCAAACCCTCGCCCGGGGGGCACTGTCATTTGCTAGATTTCAAAAGGCAGATACTTGTTCACAGGCGTTTACCTTTTGTGATCTGCTGCCACCAGCTGTTGGTTTGGAGGCCTCGGCCTGGTTCTCTTTGTGGATATTGGATGGGGATGGAGTTGACTTCTGGGCAGCAAGGCGGGGGCTGGTCCTAGTTGCCATGGTTGTTCTTCGCAGGACATAGGGACTTGTCTTTCCCGTTGGGATATCAGCAAACCCTAAGGACAAAAAAGCTGCCTGTCAACACTGCTAGGTCCAATTCTATCCATAATGGAAAAGATATGCACTAGGTCACATTTAACAGATAAACGCTTTCTCCTAGCCACAGAGAACAGAGATTAACTTCTCAGTTACCCTGGGAGTCGTCACACTGAATAACTAACTAACAGGTTTTCTCTTATTAGAAACATAAAAAACCACAATGGAAAAAGGGGAAAACAGAAAATATTCTTCTATGAGGATCTCTATTCTTGTGTTTTTCTAAGATCGAAAGAACACACCAAGTAAGCCCTCCTGTAAAATTTGGATTAAAAGGGGTGGGGAGGAAGAGGGTAAAATGCTACAGCTACTTCAGGTGACTCCCCTCAGGTAAAGACCAGGACGGGCAGAGATCTGATCTTGCTAAGCAGGATTTCAATCTCACTCTGCAGACATCCCCTCCTTCCACAGAAGGACCCCATGGGACTTGTGATGACAAGAGAAAGTCAACCCAAGGACACTAATGGATAGGATTATCACACACACTATGGAATGGTACTGACTAAACTAAACTAACTAAAGCAACGTTTGGTTTGGTTTGTTTTTAACCCTTTAACTACAAATAAAAACCAGTAAGAAAGCGATATCTCACTTTTTTGGAGTTAGATTTCCTAAGGGCTAGAGTTACTTAGAACAGTGCTTCTCAACCCATCTATGGCAAAGAATCAGTTTTGATAATGAGGGGGGCGGGGGGGCTGCCGTGCATAATTTCTAAATCTGCTATGGAATGACACTGTTGTATAATACACTAAGAATGAATCAATAGAGAAATGATTATGTGCTTGGATGTTGTGACAATGTCAAACTGCTATGAAAATTTGAAACTCTTACTCTTGATTTCGTTTGTTTGTTTTGGGGAGGGGGTGGGTCATGAACCACACTTGGAGGACAACTTAAAAAAAAAAAAAGCCTTGCCCAAGGGGTTTGGCTCAGTAGATAGAGCATCGGCCTGAGGACTGAAGAGTCAAGGGCTCGTACCTCAGTTGCAGGCTTGATCCCCGGCCCCAGTCCGTGTGTGTGTGTGTGTGTGTGTGTGTGTGTGTGTGTGTGGCAAACAATCGATGTCTCTCTCTCACATCAATGTTTTTCTCTCTCTGTGTCTCTCCCCTTCCCTTCCACTTTCTCTCTCTCTCTAAAAAAAAAGAAGCAATGAAAAAATATCCTTGGGTAAGGGGTAACCAAAAAAAAAAAAAAAAGAAGTGGTACGTGGCTCCAGCCAGGGGGGCAGCATCTGCAGGCCCACCCTCCAGCCCCTGACTACAGACAGGAAAGCTAGGGGGGTGTCCTCGAGTTGGGGACTTTCCCGCACAGGAATGTCAAATTCCAAACAGCTTTCAAACAGTCACTCCACAAATGGACCAGGCGTTTCTGTAGTGGGACATGAGGGACTAGGTCCTATTTGGTCCTATTTGACAGAAAGGAAAACACATGCCTTAAAAGTAGGCAACCGCTTCTTAACTTTACTTAGTACAGTTGCACAGTAACTGAAACTCAATGCTTCTCTTTTGCATGGGAAATGCCCTGTGGACTTTCAAAAGAACACAGATAATCTTGTTCTACACCTATGCCGTACCTTTCTTTACAACTTCTGGAAGCCCCTCGAGCTCAAACTCGGTGTCTTCTGCGTCCCCGGCAGGGTGAGCGCCACTGCGGACCGCCTTCCGGCTTCTCTTAGGAAACGAGTCTGGGGTGGACGGGGCTGCTCCTCCCCCATCCTCCCAAATCCCACTGTTCCTTTGCCTTTTGCCTGAACCTTTACTTTGGCCGGACGACTTCTGCTTTTCGGTGACAGAAGGGACTGGAGACGATCCCGGGACAACTGACTTCGGCGAAGGAGAACTTCGGACATTGGGTTGAGATTGTTGTGTTTCTAGCATCTCTTTGGCTCTCTCCAACTTCTCATAGCTTATAAGCAGCGCACAGTACTTATCCAGATACTCGTCTGCCTCCTTGCTTTTCTCTTCGAGGGTTTCTTTCAGTTCTTTCACCTCGGTCTTTAATTCATCTACATTAACATCCACAACAGGACCTGTCAGAAATCGTACCGCGTCACTTCACATTCCTCTAGTTGACACTGGACATCATAAAGCAGAAAACCTTGGGCTTGTGTTTTTTATTTTTATTTTTCTTACAAGTTGGGGAGATATATCTATACATGTTCTTAGAGTTTAAACAACCCTCATTTGGGAGGGATCACATCAAGGTTAATATTCTTATTAGGACAGCTGACATACCCAAATCTCAAGCTTGTATTTCCTCCAGCCTATCAAACTTTCTTGCAGTTGTTCATATGAGAGCAAGTGGATTAATTTAGCGCATCCCTTATGATCCCTGTCCATTCTTTCCACCATACGTGAATGAACAACCTAAGCTGGTAAAGAATATGAGGTCCCAGTTGTGACGGCTCTGGGAGGCAGAAGGGGACCTGTGACAAGGCAGGCCCCAAAGGCTCTGAAAACCATTTGTAAGCAAAGGAGAGCCTGATGGACAAAAGCTTGGGGGAGGCTATGAAGCGGGAGTCTTGGACAACTTGTAGCTGCCACAGCTGGCATGGAAGCCATTGGAAAACCTCCTTGGAGCCCCATATGCTCTGGGACTCTTGTCAGCGGGAAGACCCCCCTGCATACAATGCTCGCCATCATCTTTCCACAGGCAAGCAGCATTCCCCTCGGGCATAAGTGGAAAAAAGTTGTCTTTTCTTTTTTATTTTATCTCCACACCCAAAAATAAACCTCCCACCCTCCCACGTGGCTGAGCCATGGGGATGGGCCCAGGACCACCAGAACCAGCTGTTTGTAAGTTACCAGCACCAGCTCAGAGGCCAATCTGCCTGTGACGTAGGAGCTACTTAGATGGGCATCATCACATGAAAACTCTTCCTGGAATGGCTCGCTAGCAAAAAGTGCTGCCAGTCTTTTGTACGTTTCATGGGACAGCAGATGTGACAATCCTATTTCAAAATGCAGGGTTCATTCTGAATCCTATGAATGACCCCAAGCCGAGCACAATGTTCAAAAACTGGAAATAAACATCTGCTGAGAATCAGCGGGCAGTGCCAAACGGAGCTAAAACCATGCCTGGCGCACACGCACCAGCGAGCGCTGGCCTGGCCATGCCCAGCTGACCCCACCTGAGTTCTGTTTCCCCCGCGCGGCATCTTCCAGGCGAGACAGCTCCTTCTGCAGCAGCTCCTTCTCCTCTTCCAGCTGCTTACAGGATTTGATCAACAGCTTGATTTTCCCCTGGGCACGCTCCGTTTCCTTCTTCAGCTGACTGGTGTATTTTAGGTTGTCCGTCTACAAGGCAAAACCTTGAATTTAAAACCTTCAACTTCTTCTAGTGAGCACATAGAAAAATAACCATGAGATATAACTAAGAATCATGTATTGTAAATCTAAGATTATGTTCAAACTGAAACATCTAAAGATGAATCAAACAATTCACCTTTTCTACTGTTTTCCAGGGCTCCCCAATGGACGCTGGTTTTGTCACTTCCCGTCTTAGCATCAGCAAGCATACAGCATGGTGCTAAGATAATGTTCTCTTAAGTGGCTCACCCTGCCTGTGTTTATCCAACACGGGGCAGGGATAAGAGTCCACGGACATATTCTTAGGGGTCAAAAATTCTGAGAATTATGTTCCCATTTGTAATCTCCTGCTGGTGAAAAATATCAATACCTAAAACAGCATTTGTCTTAGTCACACCAAGTGAAGGCTAAATAACATTATGGCTCACAATACAAATTTAAATCTGATATGTAGCTCAACTAGAAAGTGAATAGAATGGTGGGAGAATTATGGCATCATGCACTTCTCAGCAATGCAAGTTCAAGCTCTTTCACCACAACTGCAACATCCTAAAGAAAGCTCTGAAAATGATTTAGAGGCAAAACTTGACCAGATAGCAAAGTATTTCTAATCTTTATTTATTCCACCTTGTGAGAAGAGTCACACATTTTGCTACAGAAATATGGATTGGTATGAATATTACCAGAGAGCCTGCTAGCATATTATGTAATATGTGGCATGTGCATTGTATTATGTAACATCTAAAAAATGCATAATTCTAAAACAAATTAGCTTTAAGAGTTTCTGGTAAGAGATCATGAATATATAAAGGCAAACCAAACTATTAAAATAAAAGAACTTGAGCACCATAATCATGTTGCTAGTAATTTAATTCTCTGTGTATTTCACCTTGAGATCTTGTATTAGCAATGTTACAGTTCATCTGCACTTGTGAAATTTTCTATTTCTGAATCCAACCATAATTGGATTGGAGATGGATTAATTCCATTTCAACAATGCTTATCAACTGGTACCTCACCGAAATTACATGTGATCTGAATAGACTCAACAATGTACCATTTTGTACATGGTACGTACACAGACATTCCCCACAGTAAAACTGTCAAAGATTAAAAAGGCAGAAAGTGAATAAAAAAGTAGACCTGAAGCTACATCTTTCCATTATTAAAACTAACATATCTCATTTTGTAACAGAACATCATTGAACATTAAAATTATTCTAAATTTTATGAGTATGTATAATTTTTAAAATACATATATTTTTATTTCAGAGTGGAGAGGGAGACAGAGATAGAAACATCAATGATGACAGAATCAATGAGCAGCTGCCTCCTACATGCCCTCTACTGGGGATTGAGCCTGCAACCGGGCATGTGCCCTGACCTGGAATCAAACCGTGACCTTCTGGTTCATAGGTCGATGCTCAACCACTGAGCTACACCAGCCAGGCAGGAGTGTGTATTTTATTGGTATATTCCCTTCACCTTGATAAGTGTATATGAGCAATAAACCTAAGAAGTTAATACCTAGTTTTCTGTTTGAATATATTCAATATACAATTAGTTGCCATAATCTTTAAAATTTAAATCATCTTTCAGTAAAGACTTTTATGGGACAATATTTATTATCCAGTTTCATTATTATACATTCTGAATGGTATTCATTTTGTGAAAATTATCTGTAGAAATCAAAACAGCCTCCCTTTACAAGTAGAATTCCTAAAGCGCCACCTCTAGTCTAAGAACCCTGGGACTAGGGTTCACCTCCTTTTCTCTGAAGAACACAGTTTTAGGATCCCTGGGTGGAGAGGAAGAGGAGAATGTACACCTACCTGTGCCCGACCAAATGCCCTGCCTCACCTTTGCCAAAGTGGGTTTGATGACAGCAATGAACTTGGAGACCCATCAAGCAAGAATTTGGAATTACCACCAAATTATTACTTAGGGGCCCACCCTAATCTGTCAGTGGTACAACCTTCACCTCCATCTCAAGAAGTCTTGAAGTAGTTTGAGAGGGTTCGCTGAGCAATGGATAAAGTTCATATAAGCCATGAGACTGTAGGCCATCCACTGACTTTTAAAAATAACTCAGCAGAGAATTGATGAGTGATATTATTTATAACGGCAAAAACCTTTTTCACAAAAATTAAAATGAAACCTCATAACTCAATACCATTAAAACCATGGTGATTCTGCATAAGCCATTCGAGGTCATGAAGCAATGAAAAGTGAACATATTGCCCTGCTGGTGTGGCTCAGTGGTTGAGCGTAAACCTATGAACCAGGGGGTCATGGTTTGATTCCCAGTCACGGCTCAGGCCTGGGTTGTGGGCTCAATCCCCAGTGTGGGGTGTGCAGGAGGCGCAGCCAATCAATGATTCTCTCTCAGCTATGTCTCCCTTCCTCTCTGTAATCAATAAAAATATGTTTTTTTAAAAAAGAGTAAACATACCTTGGTTCTCTTCAGTTCCTCTAAAAGCTCGGTGGTTGCTTTCAAAGAGCTATTGAGTTCCTCTTTACTGGACTTCAAGAGGTCGATCTCCACCTTTTGGGAGCTGAGACACGCTTCCTTAGACGCCAACTTCTCCCGATAGGTCTGGATTTCCATTTCATGCTGGGGCAGAAAATGCTACTTTAGCCAGAAGGCTCAGGTAAAAACATTGCAAGCAAAATGAACTAAAAATAGACCTGCTGTTTCAAGGGCCGTTACCAACGGTCTTTGTGCCTCTCCTACTACTCTACCCCGAGATGGAAAGGTATTTTTTAAAAAATCAGTTATGAATGAGACATGTGCAGGTAATGGAGGGAAAGGTAGTGAGGAAAATATGATGGCACCCTTCCTAAGGTCATACAGCATAATAATGATGCAGAACTTTGACCTTCTTGCAAAAAAAATGCTTCACTTCCATGGTCAACACACACTCTCCAGCTCCCCCAGTAACCAAACTCCGCGGATCACCTGTTTGTTTGTATCCAGAAGCAAAGTTTGGTGTTTCTTTTCAGCTTCCTGGAGCTGTAGCTGGTATCCAGCTATTTCTTCTCTCATTTTCTCTTGCTTTTCCATCTGGTCTTTTTGTAGGCAATCCAAGCTCCTTTTCAATTCACTATTTTCTAGCATGAATTCCTTCAATTGACCCTAATGAATAAAGTTATGCAAGCATGGGAAAATAATTAAGAACCTTGATATACGTCTTCAGGAAATACTGAGTACTGAGGGGGAAGAAATAGTTTATAGGCAAGACAAAAACCTATACAGAACAATGCTATAATCCTTAGCAGTGTATTCACTTTAAATTGCAATTTCATCTACAGTAACAATTTCCCCCATTCTAGCCCAGCCACCTCCTAGGTCACATCCAATGGGACCACAGAATCTCCAAAACCTGACTTCCACTAAACCACTCTGAGACTATACCCTCCTGGCTACCAGGTTCGCTTATTTAAGTGTTTCCATTGCAGTAACTCCTTGACCTCATCAACAGCACCACCATGACGACCTTCACATTCCAGACTTACAGTTTTCTTCCTTGGCCAGCTTAGAGTCCATGTTCTATCACTTTAAGAATTTCCTTCCAAATGACCTGAACTCTTTAGCCCCTCTCCTCTGTGCAGGACAGGCAGAACCACAGCCCTGGAGGCACCTGCCTCCCCTGTGCCTGATCCCAGAGCTGCCTCTATATACACACTGTGTCCACTGCCTCATCTCCTATTCACTCAACCCGCTCCAGCCCGGTTTCATCCCCCCTCCTTCTGAAATAGCTTTTCATGGCATCGCCCACCTCCATGTTGTAGATCGAAGGGACACACTTAAGTCCTCATCTATCTGACCTGTAAGTAGGATCTGAGGCTCTGACCCTTCTGCCTTGAGAGCCTCCACTCTTGGCTGCTGGGACACGACTCCGCCCCTGGTTGGCCTCACCACGGCTTCTCTGTTTCCCGGCTCGTTCTCCCACCTGCACATCACACTGCACACTGGGGGATCTCTGGGCTTGGTCTGTATTTTCTACCACGGCCATAATTCTGAAATCTGACCTATATTCTGAACTAGCCAAATGAATATATCCACTCCAAACCTTTCCTTTAAAAGCCAACCTCGTGTATTTGGTCACTTCAGACTTCATTCGAACACTTTACCATGGCCTGCCTTCCTCCCTAATCTTTTCTCATATCATTTTCCATCTGATTTCAGCCACAATGGCTTCAATTTCTGAAAAACACAAAGACTTTCCCATACTGCTCCCTAGACCCAGAAGGTTCCATGCTCTAGCTGGTTCTTTGCAGATCTGACTCCTCATCCTACAGGCAACATTCTCTGACCACCCGATCTCAATTAGGTTGTTGCCTACCCCCACAGCCCAGTCCCAATTGTTCGACAATAAAGAATCTTATTTCTTTCATTTATAGCACTTAACAGTTTATAATTATTTCATGTTTCCTGTTTAATGCTTTATTGTGTGTCTAGACCGCAAGCTCTATGAGTACAAGCAGCACAGGAGAGCTAACGGTTCAACATTCTATCCCCTAACCTTACCAGTGCTTGTTATTTATAGAATGAATAAATTGAGGGAATGAAGCAATAGCAAGCCAACACTCTCATCTGTATACACTTAAGGTTAAACACCTATAAGTGAAATATGAATAACAATATACTTGGGATAGCCCCAAGATGTTCAGTGCCAAAGATTTCAGCAGGTGCGATACTCAAACTTATCATCAGTTAGGAACTCCTTCTACACAGCACTGCCAGAAAATTCCTTGTCAATTTCCGAGATTAAACACCAAAAGATTTAAATTTTCATTAGCTTGAATGTAGTACTTTAAAGAAAAATACAACTTTCCTCAACTTTTTTCTTACACAGGCTATTACAAATGTCACTTCAACTTTTTGTGATTATTCAGGTTTATAATCACAACTCCATTCCGCTATCCTTTCCTAAGTACTCCTTATGGATGAAGCTGCATGAGGACTATATGGACATCTGGGCGTGGCAAACAGGTTTCCCTACATCGGCCAGCTCTGCACGCACAGTGGCTGCTACCTGGGACTCAGTTAAACTCAGAAGGGAGGGAGGCAGCATGAATCAGCAGTGTCTGCTATGGGAACAGCAGTGACGAGTGGCAGCCCAGATGCTATAGATCTGCCACATTAACCTGGCTCTAAAATAGCATCCACGACCGATTGGTGTGGCTCAGTGGTTGAGCAACGACCCATGAACCAGGAAGTCACAGCTCGATTCCAGGACACATGCCCAGGTTGCTAGCTAGGTCCCCAGTAGGGAGCATGCAGGAGGCAGGCAACTGATGATTCCCTCTCATCAGTGATGTCTCTCTCTCCCCCCCTCTCCTTTTATCTCTCTGAAATCAATAAAAAAACATTTTTAAGAAAAATAGCACCTAAGACTGCTCTAACTTTACATTTTACTGAGCTTTCTTTCTGGTATTTTGTTAGTTCTTAGCAAGATCAGTGTATGTGCATCTGTCTCTAGCAACCTTTTGGCTTGTGATCTGTGGCAGGCTAGGAAAGCGGCCGATTGAAAGCTGCGTGAAATCTATTTCTGATGCGAGTTAATACAGTACAAGAGTCCCCTTCCATGAAAAAAAAAGTACTTGGGCTCCGTGACAGGTCTGGTCACGTGTTCAGAGGCCTCTGGTGACTCCTGGGCTCATGACAGTGCTGGCTGGTGGAGATGACTGCAAGCCTGATCGTGACATATGCGTGGGGTTATTTTTCTCAAAAGCTAAAAAAGTTTGGTACGTTACAGAAGGTCTTACAAAAACAAACAAGGAGGGCGTGCACACTGAACTGTCAATCTGTCACAGAGACGCTTACTTTGCTGGTCTTTATTTCTTCCGACATTAAATTTAATTCTTCAGTGAGCCTGTTTTTCTCCCCACTGACTTCTGCTTCCAAACCCGTCATTTTCTGCATCATCGCGTGTACTTCCCTCTGCAGCTCAGTTTCCTTCAAAGTCATAGTGTCCACCTGGAATTCAATCTTTCATCAGGACATGCTTTTGGTTTTCTGTTTTGATCAAATTAATCCCTTGCATACAACATATTCATGACATCATTTCAGACTTCGGTAAGAAAATGGGACCCAGCTAAGCCTCCTTTCACTAATCCACTCAATTAATATGCTCAAATCCCACTGGGGAGCTTACCTTTTCTTCTCAGCAAAAATTTAATAAAAGACAACAATAAGGAAAGGAATGACAACAAAAGATATTACTCAGTATTAAAATCCTTCATAAAGGCATTAATTTGAATTAAACTTACACCTCAGAGACTACTGTATGAGGCAGTGTCTTAGATTTTTATCATTTCTTGGATCTCTACGAATCCTCCAATGCCATACTGCTCTGCAAGAAACATGGCTCTAATCCAGCCGTGGGCAAACTACGGCCTGCGGGCCGGATCCGGCCCGTTTAAAATGAATAAAACTAAAAAAAAAAAAAAAAAGACCGTACCCTTTTATGTAATGATGTTTACTTTGAATTTATATTAGTTCACACAAACACTCCATCCATGCTTTTGTTCCGGCCCTCCGGTCCAGTTTAAGAACCCATTGTGGCCCTCGAGTCACAAAGTTTGCCCACCCCTGCTCTAATCAGTCACGGCCAGCTAAAGCTCTCTTGTTTGCATCTGCTCCTTGACGTTGAAACAGCCTGCTATAGTTTTTCTAATCATCTCTACCAGAACCGCCATCTCTTGCTAGCCACCCCAAAACTTGAAATTCTTGGAAAATAAAGCTATGAAGTGATTACATTTTCTCAACACACCCTTTCTCCTTTAATATTTGTCCAGTAAAAATGTGATTTGATAGAATCACTTTGCTAGATCAGTAAGCAAGCAAAGAAGGCAAAAAACTTAATTTTTCATTAGTAAGTGAGCCTCCTGACAGCAGATCTTCCCTTTAATCATCAGCTTACAGATAACAGGAGACTAAAGGAGAAGATAAAAGAGAGGGGAACTGAAAGGACAAAATCCCCAGGACACACACTGGGAGCCATGAAGGTCCTGCTGTAACAATTATATCACCATCCTAATAGGTCTTTCTCCTAAAGGCAGTAAAGGCAGCCCAGGGACAAAGGGGATCCCTTCTAACTAGTATGTGCTATACCCTTTCTAGCAGATTCTCACCTGGGTATGGGAGGGTACTATTCTGATGCATTGTGAGAAAGGGAAGTGCAATGAGCCAGGAACTGTGCATGACCCAGAGCTTCTTCCATGTCCAGGTGCCATACTGAAAACCTGGGCCAATCCTTAGATGAGTCCCAGACAAATGTGTCCCAAAGCAAAAGAGTCACTACTACTGGAGCCAACTCAATGTCCCCCAAGTTCAAGACCTTTACAAAGTTTGGTCCAATACTGCAGGCACCATCCACAGGGAAATACAACTCACCCAGTGGTTTCCCTCCCTCATGACAACAAATGAAAATGTAGATAACGTCACTTACTTTTTCAACCAAGGATATTTTTTCCATTTTTGTCAATTCCAGCTCTTTCTCCAGGTCCCTGTAAGAAGTCTGCAGCGCTTCGAAGGTGTGCTGCAAAGTGTCATTTGTGGACTGCAGCCCTTGGATCTTTTGCTCCAATTCTACCATCAGATTCTCCAGGTCTGCTTTTTGCTTCTTCCAAACTTGCTGCTCTCCTTCCACTTGGGACAGTTTAGAGACAAGCTGCTCTCGGTCTTGGATTTGATTTTTGAGTACATGGATTTCTTCATCCTTCTTCTGGAGTTTCTGTTTGCCATCTTCGACTTCTTGGATGAGGCCATTCACAGAAGATTGCAAAATAGTGTAATTACTTTTGGCCTCATCAAGGCTTTGCAGCAACTTAGACTTCTCATGTTCAAGATAATCTACCTGACCACTCAGATCCTGCTGTTTGGCCTTCCAGGTCTCTTGGTCATCACACAAGGCTGCCACTTTCTCCTTTAGCTCTTTTAATTGAGCCTGAAGCCTCTCCTCAGCAAGTTTAGATTCTTCTTTCAGCTGAAGTTTCTCTTGCTCTCTTATTTGCAGTAGATTTTCAAATGAAGAATTTAATGTTTCCAATTCAGATACTCGTCCTTGCTCTTTTTGTAATTCTTTTGTCAGATTTTCTTTTTCTGACCTTATATTGACAAGATTTAATTCCAAATCTCTCAGATTTGGGGCCATCTCCTCAATTTTTGCTGTTAGGGTATCAACCTCTGCTTTGGAGTTCTCAGCTTCCAGAATCACAAGCTCGTGGTTTTTTCTCGACATCTCTAGTTCTCTTTCAAGGTTTTCAACTCTATCCTTAAGCAAGTCTGCATGATGCTTACTTTCCTGCTGCTTCTTTTCATCAGTTTCTAGGTGGATTTTCAGTTTTTCAATGCTATTTCTCAGCTGGTGCACGACCTGCACTGGGGAGCCCAGGCTCTGTGCTCTGACCTCCCTGGTTTTTTGGTCATCAAACAAGGCTGACACCTCCTCGTTCAGCTCTTTCAATTCTGTTTGAAGCATTTCCACTGCAGCTTTAGATTCTTCTTTTGTCTGCATATTTTCTTGCTCTTTTTCTTCTAATAGATTTTTTAATGAAGAGAGTAACGTGTCTAATTCAGACACCTGATCTTGTTTTTCTTGTAGCTGCTTAGTCAGATTTTCTTTTTCGGACTGTATTGTGACAAGGTTTGATTCTAAAGCTTTCAGGCGTTCAGTGGTCAATTCTATTTGTGTTTTTAAGGTCTCTACCTCTGCTTTGGAATTCTCAGCATCAAGAATTACCATCTCTTGGTTTTCCTCTGCTATCTGCAATTCTCTTTCAAGATTCTCAAGTTTATCCTGAAGCAAATCATTCTTACGCTCACTTTCTTTCAGTTTCTCTAAGACGCGGAGCTGCTTCTTTTCATCAGCTTCGATGCGTACCCTCAGCTTCTCAATGCCACTTCTCAGCTGATGCACCTCGTCTTGCGTTGAGTTCAGCCTCATGGCGACCTCGCCTTTTTCCATTACTGCAGCCTCCAAGGCCTTGGCAATGGTCAGCTTTTCCTGTTCCAATTCATGAAACTTGGTCTTTAGGCTTTCAGATTCCCTTAAAAGCAATTCTTTCTCATTATCCAATTGTCCAATTTGGTTTTCCAGCTCACTTTTTCCCAAAGACAGCATGTGTGAGTCCTTTTCCAAGCTCTGCAGCTGCTCCTGCAGACGGGCATTATCTGAGGATAGATTCTGAAGAAGCTGAGTTTTGTCCTTCAGCTCATCTCCCACCACCTCAATGTGCTGTAGACATTCCTCTTGATGAGATTCCAACTCTCGAATTTTCTCCTTCATCTTTTCAGACATCAAGTCCAATTCTTTATTTTCTTTTGACAAAGTATCTAATTCTCCATGAAGCCGGCTTCTCTCACTTGTGACCAGAGAGAGTTCTTCCTCAAGATGGCTTATAACTTGCTGCTTAGATTCATAGTCTTTTTCTAATTGCAGCTTCTCTGTTTGAACTCTCTCTATGTCAGCTTCCACAGAGTGGGCATGATGCTCGATGCTGCCTTTCTCCAACTTGATCCTCTGCAGCTCATTTTCTACTTCAAGAAACCTCTCTCTCCAGTGGTCGTTCACCTTGGCTACATTATCTTCAGTAATTTCATGTGACAATTTAGCTGTGTCCATTTCTAAACTACAGTTGAGGCCTTCCAAACTTTCTACTCTCTGGTGGAACTCCAGGTTATCACAAGAAAAGGATTCCAATTTTTCCATTAAATCGGATTTTTCTTTCTTAAGTTCCTCAACTGTTTCCTCCAATTCTCTGCATGTTTCAATCTTGGTAGTTAGTTGTACTTCCTGTAAACTGAGTTTTGAATCTAACTCTTTTATTTCGCTTATCAAAATTTCAACATTTTTGTCCCGTTCCTCTATGACATGAAGTAATCTCAAATTTTCATTTGATATCTCTTTTACCTGCAGTTGGAGATTCTGAGTGGTTACCTGAGCCTCTAGAAAATCCATAGGTACCAAAGGATTGGGACCAGAAAGTGATGACTCAGAAATGCATTCTGGAAAGTCCTGGGTTTTGTCTTCCAGTGGGGAATCAGAACTGGTTTCTGGGGACAGCTCCTGAGAACTTTCTCCTGTCTGCAGAACTGCCCCAGGCGTGGTGCTTTTCTCCTCCTCTAGACTGAGGTCCTGCTGAGCTTCTTTTTCACAAATTGGATGCATGTCCTGCTTTGGTGTTCTCTCTTTAGTTTCTGAAGTAGTACATTCTTCTGATTCCTTGGTGTCACAGTTATCATTTCCACCCTGAATAGCCTGCAGTTGTAATACAGAACAAGAATGCTTTTTATGTTTCAGGAAGAATAATAGAATAAATAGGCTTAATTATTATTTTATAGCAACTGGCTTCTTGCCTTGGCTCAATACATCGCTTCAAATGAAATATTTCTTACAACATTCTCTTCTCTCCATCCAAATACTCCACACAATTAAACAAACATTCTGTAAGTGTTCTCTCTGGGCAAGGCACTGGCAAGGCCTTTATCATGAAGACAAACCTCCAGTTATTTAATCATCTATATTGGCATACTCTTAAATTTCATATATTGTTTTTCTTGCTAGAAATAGTCCTGATAGCCTAAATATAAAATATCTCTGTGATTATCAAACAAGAGGCTAAATTCCATATGAAATGCTCAGCTTCCATCTTCAGCATTTCTGATATTCTTTGATAAGAGAAGGCAATAACATTTTCTGACCAGAATTCCAGCCCAAGAGCTTAACATTCTCAGAAAAATCACGTGTCTAAACATCACCTTCCTCTTATCTGTAAAATGAGGATCAGCGGCTATGACTACTCCTGCTGACTCACCACTTGCCTTTCCTATCTTACAGAGGCAGAAGGAACAAAGTGAGACTCGTCAACCATACAGAATTATTAGTGTAGCTGGCAGACTAGAAGGACAAAGTTATAAGTAATTAGGCAATTTCGTTTTCTATAAAGAAAGATCTTTTTAAATGACTGATACCAAATTACAGATTTGTATCAGAGCAAATTATTAGAAAATGATTCAGTAACATATAATATACTCTTATTAGTTTCATGACTTTAACTCTGTAACATTAAAAATAGAAAGACTTTAAAATTCATATCACAATAACATTCCTAAGCTCTAATTTATTATGTAAGTCTGCTTTATTAACTCACAAAGAAATGAAAATATGCAACATACACATCCTGAAGACACCTTTCTGATGCCATGTAATTTTTTCCAGGAGAGTTTAAAAACCCTCTTTAGTAATTTCCCATATAATAGTGTTTAAATGTAATAACTGTGGAAATTTAGCTCCCAAAAAGGTTTACTTACTCATATTCCTAAAGTTCTGGATGGTTTTTTTATAAAAACTTTGGGATATTTAATGCCCTTGAACCCTAAAACTATTTTTAAGGTCAATTCAACATTGATTTCCATTCAACATTTATTGAGTGTCTGCTAGACATGCAATTAGAGAAATAGCATGTAAATCCATGTACTTACATCTTCAAGGTCGGTGCCAAGGAAAGACCGGGTACTTAAGTCCAGACCTTGTAGCTGGAGTCGTGCTACTTCGAGTTCCAGTGACAGGTGTTCTGTCTGCTTCTTTTCTGCTGCCAACTTGGACTCCATCTCCATCGTCACGCTTGCCAGTTTCTGCTGCCACTGTTCATTTTCTGACAAATACTGCTTCCGAAGACAGTCGAGCTCTTCCATTTCAGAATTTAGTAACTGTTTGAGCTCTTCAATTTCCTTCTTTTTCATGACCTCTTGACTTTCAATTTTTTCTTCTAGCTTCTTAAGGGACTGCTGGTATATCTGACAGAGGATCTCGAGTTCTTCAACACTCTTCTCTGAGGCTGACGGGACAGTCGTCTTGGGCAGATCCTCCTCCTCCAGACTGCTACAAGATACCTCCTCTAGGTTGGACTGGTTTGTAGAAAGATTCCCTTCCAAACTATTCCAAAGGGATGTTTCCCCTGTCTGTTCTAAAAGATCTTTGCAAAATGATAATTCCCCCAGGCTAGTAAGACTAGGGCTGTCAGCCACACAAGAGAATGACAGTGACAGTGAACGCCTCTCCCTGGATTCCATCTTCCCTTCCTTTACCAAGTCACCTGGAGAGTTTCGAAGACTCATTGACAAAACCGAATTTTCAGCCTTCAACACGTCAACATAGGACTGTAGCTCTAACATCTTAGAGCTCATTTGGCTGTGCTGATCATGTAAAGTTTTGTGTTCACTTTGTAAAGATGAGAATTTCTCCTGCAATTCAGCAAAGTGCGTTTGAACTTCTTTGCTCGACAATGTCAAGTGCTCATAGATGTGACTATTATCTAAAGGATTTAAGGACACAGATGTCTCTGAATTTTGTTGTTCACCATGTTCACCTTCTAGCATTTCTTCCACTAACTTATCTTGGCAATGACCATTTTCATCATTTAATATTTTAACTTCACTGACTAGTTTCTCAACGTTTGCCATTTTACTAGTTGCTGTGATACATTCTGATCTTGAGTCATTGAGCTCAGACATTAATTCAAACTTTTCACTGCGCAGCAGTCCACACATTGTCTCTAGCTCATTCAGCTTGTTCAATGCCATTTGTAGAGAACACTGCAGCTGCTCATTGTCCTTTTGACTTGTTGACAACTCATGAAGCATGGACATATACTTTTCTTCTGTATCTACTTCACAGTCTTTAAGGCCACTAATTTCTTGTGATTGAATGCCTTGCAGCAAATTTCTAGATTCTAATTCTCTGTTAATTTTCTGTAATTCATGCTGTAGGTACTTCTTTTCCTTCTCACTTTCCTCAAGTTGTAATTCCATATTTCTTATCTTAGCTTCTAATTGTTCTAACTGTGCAACATAATTGTCTTGAGAAGTATCTTTAACTTCAAACTCCATTGGAAGTTGAACATGACATTTACTCTTCTCACTGTCTCTTTCTGTCACAGAGTCATTAATCGGGTCCAATTCTAGATTCTGATGCTCATGTTTCATCTTCATTAAGTTCATCAGCTGCTCATTCTCTTGTGATAAGGCATTCACTTCCTTTTGCATTTTGGTGTGCTCTTCCTTTAAAGTCATGATCTCTTGCTTTAAATCATCAGCCTCGCTCTTGGAATTGTTTTGAATCTCTACAATCTCAGCTCTCAGATCTCCCTGCAATGACTCCAACTCTTGTATTAGATTCTGGTTTCTTTCTTCAGCTAAAGCTAACTTTGCTACAAATGCTTGGTGTTCCCTTGCAAATGTTTCCTTTAGCTGTTCCAACTCATTTTTTCTATCTTCACTCACACTAGTGCATTCATTTAGCACACTTTCTAATTTGGAGTTCGTTTCTTGTGCTGCTTTGTATTTCTCACTGAGATCCTCAAATGCATTTCCTGTTTCTTCACATCTTTGTAATAAAATAAGTCTTTCTTGCTCATACTGATTAGATAACTGTGAAATACTTTTTTCCCCTTCGACTATACACTGTGAAATACTCTCACATTTTTGGAGTAAATCCATCTTCTCTTGATTTAAGGTGGCATTAAGTTCCTTGAGAGTCCCATTTTCTTGGGTCAACTCTTCAATTTTCTTTTTATTTAGAGAAAGCATGGAACTCATTTCCTTTTTCTCTGAGCTCAGAGTTTCAGACAAAAGTTGTAGCTCCTTCAAAGATTCTTGAAGTAAATGGTTGCTCTTTTTTAATTCTTGAATCTCTGCTTGCTCACTTTCCAATTTTCCATTCAAAAGCTGGACCTCTCTGTCCTTGTTCTCCAGGGCAACTAAAGTTTCAGTAACAACATTCTGATGGACAGAAGTGTCTTCCTGTAACTTGTTAATGCGTTGACTTGTTTCTGCCACAAAACTTTGATGCATCTGTTCTGCTCTGACAAGGTTTTCTTCTATTTCTCCTCGGATTTGCACCAACTCTTCACACTGCTTTTGCAGATCTGAGTTCATTTGCTTTTGGGACTCTAATGAAAACTCAAGAGAAATGACTCTATTTTGTAAGACGGTTGAATTTTCTGGACTTCGGTCTGCTTCTACATGGCAATCGCTCCTTTCTGAAGGCATACTTCCTTGTTCTCCTATATTTGCAAAGGAATTATTCACTGCAGACTGCTGCTCAAAGGCCAAAAGATTTCTGTGATGAGCCTCATTTGCCAGCAAAGAATCACTGGATTTTAGCAGGTCCCTGAGGCTCTCATATTCTGCATGCAGGTCTTGGTAACGCTGGTCTTTGTTTGTTATTTCACTTGAAAGTAATTGAAGCTTGTGCTTCAGATCTTCAACTTGCCCAGTAAGCTCAGAAACTTTCACACACATATTTTCCATTTCCTTCTTATGTTTCTGATCTGAGAACTCGGCTTTTTGCTGTAGCTCTGCATAAGCTTGTTTCTGAGCCTCTACTTCGACAGTCTTGCTATCAATCATATTGTGGAGGTTTCTTACCTCAACACTTATGTTTTCTCTTTCCATCTCCAATATGCTTACTCTCTCGTTGTATTCATTGCTTTTTATTTTTTGTGTCTTAAGACAAGTTTCCAACTGATTAATCTTACTCAGCAAGCTTTCCTTATCTGATTCCATTTGCTTTATAAGTTGTTCATTTTCATTTTTCCAATGAGAAAACTGAGTTTTCTCTTCTTTCAATTCTTCAAATTCTTTCTTTTTTACCTCCAAAGCACTCAATAAAGCTTCAGACTCTCTCTCTGTTTTGCTTAACTTTTCGCTCAGTTGTTCTATGTGATGTTCCCTTTTCTTCAACAGATCTTGAGAACAATCACGCTGCTTTTCCAGGTCAGCCAAGGCAAGCTTCAGTTTCTCTAAAGTCAAGGAATTCTCTTGCTGGTTTATTTTTTCTTGAAGGTCTTTTAACATGGTTTCTTGGGAAGTATTCTTAGCTTTTGAAAATAAAATAATAAAAAGCATTGTCAATGTTTTTGATACTTTATAAAAATTTTAAACTGAAAAAAAAAAAATCTAAACAAACTAACAACTTCTCAGCACTGTAAAAACTGGCATTATTGCCCAGGTACCTCCTGTAAAGTATATCACCTAACAATCATCTAAGCTTATATAAAGTCAATTAGAGCAAGGAGAGACATGGTCCTTTTAAAAGTGGTAATACATTTGGTCATCTTCTTTCTAAGCAGTTTAATAAAGGGTTGTTGCATAACATATATAAAATACCAACAGATTATTTTCCTAAGCCATTGCAACTTTCTTTTCTTCTTCTTCTGTGTATGTTTATGTATAGGTGTACAGCAATACTCATTTTATTGTGCTTCAATGATGTTGCATGTTTTATAAACTAAAGGCAAGACCCTCCACCAGTAAAAGATCATGACTCCTTTTACTGCGATACCTGCTTTTTTGCAATGGTTGGATACAAACTCACCACATCTCTGACTATATTTTTCAACTCTTTTGATATATTTATTTAAAGAGAGAAAACTATGTCAAAAGCAGCATTGAAATGGAATTACTCATGTTACTATGGAGTAATACTGATTTTCCAGGAAAATAATTACTCCACCATTTTAGCCAAAGTATATAGGATTAAATACAAAAGAGTAAAAAATCCTATAATCACTAACTCTCAAAGCCTATATAGGAATACTTAGGAACAATGTCACCCACATCCCAGCCCCTTGCAGTAAGGGTGGTGTCTATAAACCCAAGAATTCTCTGGAAGCTTTTGCAAACTCCATTAAAATCTTGTTTTCTGTCTAACAACACACTTCTACCCACTGGTCCCACCCAGTTGAGAATAACCTCAATGATTTCATTCAACAGTGATGGGAAGGTTTTATAGACCCCAAATATACTGAGGGAGACTATAAGTTGAGAAACTTAATAGTAGATGATAAGGACAGGATGTATTCTAAATGCAGATGTTACAATACAGCTCCTATATTTAATCTTCTAACCTCATTCTACCTACTGGATGAGGTTTCTCAGTTGACCACAAGGGCCATTAATCACCTCTGCTCACAAGGACCTGAGACAATAACCCTGATAACTAACACTGGAAAACACCTGGAACCCTTCACTTTTGCCATGGTTTTCTTTCAAGAGAAACTGACATTTTTACCACTGCTGTGGAAAAATTAAAAGCTATCTTCGGGAGATGGAAATTTTAAGAAGAAAACAGTCACCAGCAAGTGTGACACATAATCCACAGGTCAGGTTAAAAGAAATCCTAGAGCCCTGGCCAGGTGACTCAACTGGCTGGAGTGTTGTCCCGCACACCAAAAAAAGGTTGCAGGTTCCATTCCCCACTGAGGCACATATAGGAGGTAACTAATCAATGTTTCTCACATTGATGATTCACTCTTTCTCTCTCCCTAAAATTAATAAATCCTCAGTTGAGGATTAAAATAAATCTCAGATGTGCAAATACCCCAGGTGAGAAAAATAAATGAAGTAGAAGACATATGGTACACTGATAAATGGGAAACTAGCAGTGGATTCATTTAGTGTGTATAGCATAATTCTGTAGCTCTAAAGTAAGGAAATAAAATCATTCAGTCAAGTTAGCCATCAAAAATCAATGGTCATTAAGGGCTGGGGCACATGCATTTCATAAAGTGATTTTCCATTATGTGGGAAATGGTAATGAGCGAGGAGATGAGCTGTCTGAATGTAACTAACAAACACACTTGAGACAATCAATAGTACTCTCGGGCAATAGACAGCACTGACAATTTACTTTTGTGTGGGAAATATTTACCCCTCTGGTTTCAAAGTGCTGAAAACCAGGCGTTTGGGGACTCAATGTGCTCCAATAAAACAATGTCCAACTATCACTTTGGAAACTAAAAAGTGGACGAGAGAAAACTTTCTCCACATCGAATGCAGACATCTTTCTGGGAGAATATATGGAAAAAAGCAAAGTTTCTAATGCTATCCATCCTCGCTCTCAGGAATGGTAGCTTAGAGAAATAATTCTAAAACACCAAGTTTTTCTTACCCTTGATTTCTTCTGCAAAATTCTGGCTATGAGTCAAACACTGCTTGGTCTTCTTCAGTTCCTCCTGCAGATGGCAGACTTCTCTGGCACTTTGCTCAGACTGGCTCTTAAGGAAGCTGTTTTCCTTCTTCATTTCCTAAAGTGCACATTTACTTGGTTATAATCAAAACAAATGCTCAAGCAAACTACGACTTCTGCCTTAGGAAAGGCCCTAATGGAAATGATTGTGTATCTCACTAGGGGAGGAATCACACGTTCCCTTTGAGTGCTTAACAAAGTTAGACATTATAGAACCAAATGAGTTTATGAATAGAAGTTAAAACAAATCAAAAAACCTAAATCTGACGATAATCATTTTCCTTCAAAAATATATTTCTTTGAGCTTTCTGGTTGTCCCTAAGCTTGTTAAAGTGTTAGCTCATAAGAAAAATCCTATTTAAAAGATCCTCAAGGACACAAGCTCTAAGTTCTTATCATATCTGAATGCATATCAAATATATTTTTACAAATACCTGATGTACTAAGGAACAAAAAAAGTCACACTACAAATGTTGACTCTACATCTTGAGTTCACTGTTAAGGGGATGTCTTTATGAGTAAATTACCTTTAATAAGTGTTTATCAAAAAATCTACAATGAACCACATGCTGAAATGAACATTGTAAAAGATGTAAATTTAAGTGAGACAGTCTCTGCCCTCAGGGCAAGTAACCCAGTGAGGGAAGATGTGCTACCAGTCACTTAATACACATGGGGATGTACTAACTGCTAAAGAGAGGTGGCGAGTACTATGGGAAATTGGGCTGAAGCACAAAAGGAAGAATTCATGCTAGACGGAGGAAACTGAGGTTTCACAGTAAAAACAGATTCTTTGGGCACCTGATTAAATGAAGTATCCATGTAAATAAAGTAGCAGAGACGCAGGTGTAGCCCCACTGTATTATCTAGGGAGACATACTGGGGGGGGGGGCGGGAATCTTAAAACCAAGCAATATTTGTATGCCAAAGAAAAGTGATACTGCTTATTAACCACATAAGACACACAATATCACAAATCCTCTACTTCCTCAACCTGTTTGCCAACCTTTAATGATTTTATAGCTGTTAAGTATCTCAGCTTATATGATATGCCACCCTCTAGACCACAAAGAATTGGCATATACTGACAGAATTAAGGGTCTCACATCCTTGGGGGAGGGGGAATTCATAAGGTTAACTTTAAAAAAAATAACAACTTAAAAAATACCCCTCTGAGAAGGAGAAAATTCTGAATCTTAAAGAAACAATTAAGACCCAGCCTCCAAAACCCTACTGCACCGTTAGAAAACAGATGGCCCTGGCAGTGCTGTGTTGGAAAGCTGCCTTCAATTATCAGTCTGGTTACTACCAGCAGATGGGTACCGAGGCAGCAAAGCCAAATTCAAGAAGAGGGGGAATCTGGCTAGGAGGAAGTACTTGAAAACTTGCTGGCAGCTGCTGTGCTCATATATATATATGCTCATTTCATCATCAAGATAAGACAGAACCCATTGTAGTTAAACTCCTGTCTTTGTCCTAATCCTGCCTCCCTTCCTTGCTGGCAAATTAAGACATCAATCAGAACTAAAGGGCCGCTCCAACTGATCTCAAGACTGAGGCTGACATTCATACTGGGCAGTGTTCAGTCTGCAAAGAATGATCATTAAGATACAACAGTGTACCCTAGCCAGTGTGGCTCAGTTGATCAAGCATCATCCCTTGCACCCGGAGGTTGCCAGTTCGATTCCCAATCAGGGCGCATGCCCGGGTTGCAGGCTGGATCCCCCAGTAGGGGGCATGCAGGAGGCAGCAGATCAATGTTTCTATCTCTCTCTATCCCTCTCACTTCTTCTCTAAAGAGAGGTGGCAAGTACTATGGGAAATTGGGCTGAAGCACAAAAGATCCTGTTTGAAATGTGTTATTGACTTTAACATCATTAAACTATAGACACTATAATCACCTGTTTGTTCTTCAAACACAGGATAATCATCAAAAGATATCACAAATGTGAAAGGAAAAATACCTTGAAGAACTTTAACAAGTGAATGGAGCATTATTAGTATTTCTTCCCAAAATCTAACAGCAGTGAGATCTGCGTGATCAGTGCTAAGATCAGCTGAATGAGTTCAACATAAGAGAGGAACTAGCATTTACCCACCCGCCTGGGTTGACGTAGCATTTTAATTTACAACCTATAAAATATTTTCTTACCCTAAAAAAATCAATCAAACTAAATGGCATCTACATCTGGAGGTGACAAGAAAGCTGAGAAGACACCATGTGCAAAGCTAAAGCTGGGTGCATCCCAGAGAGGGAGGGGGGCAACATGTCTGTTGATCTCCACAGCCTCTGTCCGTAACTGGAGACATTTACAGGAATAGTAAGTGAAATGAAAAGATTAGCATGTCTTTCTCTATTCTGGCATTAGCTCCGTAAATATTTGTTTCTAACAAAGAAACGTTCAGCCAATCCTGGGACCCAGCAGGCTTCTAATGCTATGGCTAACACCAACCCAAGGATTTTTAAAAGCCAGAATCTAGAAAATGAACATCTGAAAATCGAGCTGTAAACTGCCATCCATCAGCAATTAGTTTTCTGCAAGGCTACAGCCACTTAAGACTTGATTGGGTAGCTCATTATCAACAACGAGTTAAGCATACAAGGATACGTTCTCCTAGGCATCTCCTGCATCCTGACATGATGTGCAAAATTGGGCACAAGTCTGAATAAACGCAACAAAAATCCCTATAAACACAAGCCAGCATCTGAGCTTAGCAAGCTATTCCACCCAAATCAACTTCGGTTTAGGAGCAGCAAGGGAAGCATCCTTTCCTAGGGCCAGACAAAACAAATTTCAGTTACTGTGCACTATTTCATGATCCTATCCATGAATGATGCTTAATACGTCCCCTGCTGAGGCGAAGTCTGTATCATGAACAAGGGACGGATGCAAAGGATGTGTTTTTCCCTTCCACCTCATCATTCCTGTCTGCCAGACCAAGCCCCTTAGAGGATCTGGTATAATACAGATCCTGTGCTCAGAAAGGTCCCCAAGCAAGTGTTCCCCCTACCTTGGCTGTCAAATGATGGTAAATGATTGCCTAACACAATGCTATGGGGCTGGCAGCCGATGCTGGATGAGCAGTGTATCTAAACCCTCCATTCACTTTGATACTAAACGTTAACTTTACCCTTGATTGGACCATTAAATCACATTTCCATTACTGATGCTTTCTCATTGTGAGTGGCATATTAGTTTGCTAAACACGAACAAGGAAAATTTCAGTACAACTGTCACATTATTTCGGCATCCAAAACCTATCGGCGTGCTAAACTTGTTAATACTTATAATTAGATACAGAAAGAGACCCACAGTGATAGGATAGAACAGGCAAATTTTAAACGTGTAAAATCTCAAATGCACTGTCCCCTGGCTCATCGCTTTCTGTGCCTGTGGGTGACAGCAATCAGGCCATAACAGTTGTGAAGACCAAAGCAATGAGCAGGTGGACTGCAATAATCTACTGAGCACTTATGTACTGGGCGGGGTTTAATTTAATCATCGATGAAGCTTTGAAAAGGAAGGGGTATTATTTGTCCCTATATGCAGATGAAGAAAGTCAGACTCAGAAGAGGAAAGTCACTGTCCCAAGGTCATTCAGCAGGTAGGTGGCAGAAAAGCAATGCAATTTCAGCTCTCGCTCACACTAAAGCCGCCAACATTATACCATTAAGTTATGTACCGCTCTAAGTGGCTAAATCACTTTTCTGATCCCAATCCCAATTCAAAATGCAAGAGCCAGCTAAATGTGAGTTCTTCTCATCTTCAAAAGAAGACACACACATAAATGAAGACAGATGCTAAATGAACTCCCTGGCCCTGTGCGAGGCCCTTGCACACAACTGCCCTCACTGGACACAGAGATCGATGACATATTAGTGCAACACGGTGGGCAGTTAGCTCAGTATGGGCGCGTTCACAGTAGAGGACAGCTCCTCAGCTGACACACCAGACCCTGTGGGGTCACCCAAGTCTTCAGAAACACCTGCAAGACAACACCCAGCCCACTACTGCGCCTTGGCCAAGGAGACTGTTTTAAAAGCGTTTGTGGCCTCTTAACCAGATGACTGCTTTTACAAAACGCTTCCACCAGGCCGCCAGCGACGTCGCGGGAGAGTTCCTGGCTGAAAGGGGAGCTCACAGAGGGAAGAGTTCGGTGCCAGTCTGCCTGTGGAAATGTTAGCAGAAGCATCTGCTGGTTGGTCCCCACTGGCCAAAAGGCAAACATTTGTTTTGCTGAAACAAAACACTTCCATTTGAAAACGTTCGCTGTTGAAACCATCCTCTGATACGAAGCTTCCTTCCACTCCAGTGGCTGGAACTGGGGCCGCCTGTCTCCAGCCGTGTTACCCCTGAGGCTGGCTGCATGCTCCTGTGCTACTGACAGATGCTCGGATTTTACAACCGTGTTAACTCTCCAAAGCTGGGGGATAAATACCTTTCGACTCTCCTCACCTGCATAAATGACTGCTCTTTACAGAGAATTTCAAAGGGAGAATCTTTGCAATCTAGAAAGTGACTGCAAAATATTTAAAGAATGAGTGGAACAAGTTCTTTCCTGTGACATTTGATGGGGAAGAAACTTCTGTTCTGCTGTGCTTCTTTGTAATGATGCCACGCTGATTTATGTCACTATTCAAATTGTCTCAGGCTAGTAAGCTCCCCTAAATGGCTCTTCATTAAGCCCTTTAACATAAACTCCAGGCCACTAAGTAAATTCGGGGAGAAACCAAGTTAAATAAGTATGGAGAAAACCCTATCAGTAGAAGCAACGTCAAGGTAGTTCTATACTCACACCACTGGGGAAATCATCCAGCAAAGCACGAACCTACGAAAACACTGTCAACCGTGCTCAACACTGAACTTCATGCTGACTTTTGGAGCCAGAGTAACATAATTTACAATTACTTGATGTTTTCACAAGAATTTGAAATCTAGGAACTCTTCATCTGTCATTACTCTGCTCATTTAAATCATTGACTTTCCACCAGGTTTTTAATATTTGATGATTCAAAAGCCAACCCTTGGAAAAGGGATTTCAATTTACCCCTTCACCAATTTTGTTTCTTTCCATTTCGAAAACCCCTCGTTTTCTTCTATTCTTCACCTCCCGAAAGGTCTAAAACAATCTTTCAAAAAAAAAGAGTAGTATATGTCCTTAGTACATACAAGTCAAGTTTTCCTATAATTGCTACATGCATATTAGATTCTGTATCAGAATAGAAAGTGAAAAAAAAGCACTATGTTCTGTGCCATAGGTTATATACAAAATACACCGTCATACTTCTGGCAAATAAAATAGACAATGAAATGACCATGATAAACTACTGAAAATCGGTGTAGCATTTCCCAGCGCATCCTGAACGGAAGTTGGCAGACACTCGTCTCTGCTCCTCACTCACCTCACAGCTCCTCCTCAGCTCATTCTCCTTGCTCTGACTTGCCTGTAACGCCTGCTCGGTTCGGCAGGCGTTCTGCTTAAACTCTTCCCATTTGCTTTCTAGCTGGTTCTTTACTGATGTGACCTACAGAGAGAAAATAAGGTCAGGGTTCAGTTTCCTGTTCTTTACTTCCTTAATAGTCATTTCTTCTCCAATAATAAGGAAGTCATGGAATAAAAGAATTGATGCCACCCATGTTGGCCAAGACCCTCACTCTGAGAGAGACTGCGGAGCTCAGAGCAGAGTGACATCAGGTTAATAGACTCACTCTGGCTGCTGGTTGTAAACAGACTGAGGAAGAAGTGGGGGGCACAGAGACAGTTAGGAGGCTAGAACAGTAATCCGAGGGAGACGATGTGGTCTTAGACCAGCACCGAAAATAGCAGTCATATTCAATATAAACCACAGACAGACAATGTAAGTCAGGTTTCTTCTAAGCAGAGAGGTAAGTAGTACAAGGGTTTCTGGGGTGGCTGATAACATTCTATCCCAACACAGATAATGCTTATAAGAGAGCACGCCTGATAATGACTTTTCATCAAAATTTATCCTATACAGATTTTGTTTTTTAACACAAAAAGTTTAAATGCACTCTCTATATAATGCACACAAATATACATATGCACACACACACTGATATATACAAATACACACATGTGTGTACATGTAAATAAATACAGGCAGAGTTGGCAGTTTTAATGGATGACATTGAGGTGTGAGAGAAAAGGAAGACCTGCACATAACAGGAAGCTTTAGGCCTGAGCAATGTGAAGACCAGAATTGATATTTACTGGGATGAGGTATTTACTGGAGTTTCATTATTAACAAGTAAGATGCGTTAGAAATGCGAGTGGCAATGTCAGATACAGACCCATGAGTCTCAAGTTGAGAACAGATGTCCAAGCTGGAGATATAAATATGGGAGCCTTCACCACACAGATGAAACGCAAAGCCTCAGCACTGGACATCATTTTTGAAGTGAGTGTTACGTAAGTAAACTGATTGTAATTTTCAGGGCTTTGACGATTTGAGGGCATAAATTACTTGGGATGGGAACCCAGTGACATGACCAAGAACCAGAATATGAGAGCTCCACAGACTTCCAGATCTAAGAACCCCCCTCATTCACTGTCCTCTTCTCTAAATGAGAGAATCCAGACCCAGGCAGGCTCCGTTTGCTCTCCTGTTTGAAAAGGAAAGTGAGGATAGAGCATTTTTTCCTTCCAAGCAGCCTGCGTCAGCTACGGCACAGAAATAACAGGTACGAGGAAAAGGGGAGAAGGAGCACCTACTTTGTCCAGGTCAGCCTGCAGGATGTTGTGAGCGTTCTTGGCCTGCTGCAGCTCCTGGGTGAGTTTGGCTTTCATCTGAGTGCACTCTTGGTCCAGTGTTTGGAAGGAGCGCTGTTGACGGCACAGCTCCTGAAAAGCAAGAACACATGCATCACACTGCCGATGGTTCCCAGGCTGAGACCAGGGTGACACAGGCAACCCACAGGAAATGCCAGAGACAATAGGGAGCCTAGAGGACCATCCACATGATGATGAACATAATCAGCCAGAGCATGGTCCTGGTATTCAAATCCAGGTCTCCGAGGTCCTAGGAAGGAGCCCGCCACTTGACCACATGGAAGCTACCCTGTGTCCACCTCATTCCCACTCTTAAGTCAATCATCTGTGTTGAAAGATCCAGGGGCAAAAGAGAGGAGAGCTGAGCTTCAACCATCGAATTGAGTTGAGAAATCAAAGGCACTCAAAAATGGGGTTTAAAATTTCAAATACCATCCACCACTTATAATTGAGAATAGCACAAAGTAAATGTCACCAATGAACTTGGATAACCAGGTAAGGAAACCAGAGTAACATTTGCAGGTTACTTTTTTATATGTATGTGTGCTTGTGTGTGTTTTGTTTGTTTTGCGGGGGGTGGTTCTCCCTATCACCCCACTATTGCACCAGGGATTGCCAGCTTTGACATTACTCATATTCTGGGCTGGGGACAATGCTTTATCTAAGGGACTGTCACGAATTACAGGGTGTTTACCAGCAGGCCTGGCTCCTAGCCACTAAATGCTGGTAGTGGCTCCCAACTCCTCCACCCAGTTGTGACAATAAAAAATGTCCCCAGAGCCCTAACCGGTTTGGCTCAGTGGATAGAACATTAGCCTGCGGACTCAAGGATCCCAGGTTCGATTCCAGTCAAGGGCATGTACCTTGGTTGCGGGCACACCCCGAGTGGGAAGTGGGCAGGAGGCAGCTGATTGATGTTTCTCTCTCATCGATGTTTCTAACTCTCTATCCCTCTCCCTTCCTCTCTGTAAGAAAAATCAATAAAATATATTTTTTTTAAAAAAAATGTCCCCAGATATTGCTAAATATCCCCTGGGAAGGGGAAAATAATCCCCCCTGGTTGAAAACCACCGTTCTAGACTATAAAACCCATGGTCTTAATCACCCCGCTCACCCAGAACTAGCAAAGCACCTGGTATCTTATTTGGTCAATAAATAATAGACACAATATTTAAATACTTGTTTTATCAGGGGATCACTTTGTAAGTTTTACAAATGTCTTAACACTATGCTGTACACCTGAAACTAATAGAATACTAAACATCAACTGAAATTAAAACATTAACTTAGCCCTAGCTGGTTTGGCTCAGTGGATAGTGTCGGCCTGTGGACTAAAGAGTCCCAGATTCGATTCCAGTCAAGGACACATGCCCGGGGTTTCCGGCTTGACCTGAAGTAGGGGGAGTGCAGGAGGCAGCCAATGATACTCTTTAATCATTGATGTTTCTATCTCTCTTTCTCCCTCTTCCTTCCTCTCTGAAATCAATAAAAATATATTTTAAAAAATTAAATTTAAAAAAATATTTAAATACACAATTGGTTATAATTTCCCCAGGAGGCGCAATTACTTCCTTCTAGGTAACTGTCTCTATCATGCCTGCTGTATACAGTAGTTCTGGTGAGATAAACAATAAAGGAATAAACAGTTTAACGAATGTATGAGGCGGTGTCTGACCAAGATGAGCTCCAGTCTGCAGTCACTCCTATTGGAAGTCTGCAGACCCTCAATCCGTATGACACACACACTTCCCGGCTAACTCGCCTCACATTGGCAGCTGTACTCACATAAGGGCATCCTCAGCTCTAACTTGCCTGCCAAAGCCTTTCCCCACTTCATCAGCTACTATTCTAATGTATTTGCCAACCCACAGGCTTTACAAACAGCCAGAGATTGTAATTCAATTTCTTTCACAACGGAGAGTGTTTGAAAAAAGAATATGACCCTTTCCTACTCAGAATAATAATCTCAAACTAACCTGAAAATATGGATACAAAAGAACATTTCTGACTACTGAGTTCCTTCTCTGATCAAAAACTGAAAGACTGAAAAGACTGAAGGAAAACGCAGCGACCTTTTTTCCCCCCGAGAGCATTTCCCTAGTAGAACATCCAAACGATGACAAATGACTCTTCTCCGATGAGGGACCTGTGACATCCCGACAAACTCCTAATGAATCTATCCACCTTACCTCTTGAAACTCCTTCTCTTTTTCTTTGAGCTTCTGTTCCAGAGAACATCTGGCACTTTCTGCATTTTGTCGCTGGCAACTCAAATCTTCAGTCAATTTTTTCAGTTTTTGTTCCAATGCAGTACACTAACAACAAATAAAAATGTGCAATATAAAACTATTCAAGGAAAGAGTATTTTGAACTTTAGAAAAATTAGTACCAAGTTTAACATTGTGCTTTGACATTTATATTTCATAAAAAGTTGGGCTTAAAACTATTAGCCATATACCAAAAGCACTATAATTATTTTAGGACACATAAAATTTATGTTTGGGAAATAGTAGCAAGGATGTAAAGCCTTTGACCATTTAATACTTCATCATTTACACTATGACCTACGAACCAGGAGGTCATGGTTCCATTCCTGGTCAGAGCACATGCCTGGGCTATGGACTTGATCCCCAGTGTGGGGCATGCAGGAGGCAGCCCATCAATGATTCTCTCTCATCATTCTATCCCTTTCCCTTCTTCTCTGAAATCAATAAAACTATATTTTTTAAAAATTAATACATTGCCTTGGACCTTAAGACACCTCTGTCATTATCCTAACTGTTCTTGAATTTTTGAATCCCCAAGAAAAAGTATTATAGGAATTATTTATAATATGAATTCAATACTTATTGCAAACCTACTATATGTCAAGCACTGTGCTAGATACTGGAGATACAGGAGTAAACAATTCAGATAAAAATCACTGCCCACATGGTCCAAAATTTTGATAGTTGACAATCATGGGAAAACCCCCCACACTTGGCAGGCATGGTAGATGACTGAACCCTTGGCGCCCTCTGCTGGCCCTTCTTCAATCTGCAACTCATTCCATTAAAGGTTCTCAGAAGCAGTAATTTTTTCTTACTAGAAACAGTAGGTTAAAAAAGAGCTTTCAGGAGATATTTATATTTTCTGTAAAAATTTTTGAATGACATCCTCATGCACAGTCCATGTAAAAGTAACTTACCACTAGATGTCATGAATGTTCCATAATATTCTAAAATAGCGTTCAGAGCTCAAGTCCATGAAAATATGCAGCACATGACCCTGGCACTCAGCGCTCTGGCCTGTGTTTCATCTCTAAAATGTGGGTGCTCAACTCCGGGTTTGCTGCGAGCCCCAACACTTTGTTTCTACATGATTTCAACAGCTTTATATGCCACACGGTTCACAAATACTTGGAAAAGAAGCAAACTAGAAACAGCGTATGTTCACTAAAGAACATGGTATTGATCTTGATTAATTAGCTCCATTTTATTTAATAGGTAATTCTAAGGGAAGAGCATAAACAATGCATAATTTGATTTCAGCTACGTATCTGACAAGGTTATATTGTCCTTAGAGGCAAGCGGAGAGAGGTAGACTGAATTTTCAGTCAAGTGGATTGTAGCTCACAGGAAAATGGAATTCAGAAAGCATGGAACAAACAATTCTTAAGAACCCAGAGGGACGACTAATAGAAAGAAAGCCAGAACTGTGTCCTCAGCACTCGGCACCATCCAGTCAAATATTTCAATCATGGCCTGGGCCTGGTAGAAGACACTATATCAGATGTATCAGATGGAATGAGGATTCAGTGATCTTATCACACGAAAATCAACAGCATATAATGTGAAAGGGTAAGTATAATTCTTATATATGGGAAGACCTGAGCTGGCAGAAAAGCAACTGAAAATGAGCTTAATTGACAAAGAACTTTATGCAACAAAAATTATTACAAATATTAATATAATTCACATGTGCCAAGTACTATGCTAAAGCCTTTATGAAAATTACTTTAATAATAACAACAACCCTATGGCACAGGCATTTTTAACACCATTTTATTGATTAGACAACTGGGCTCAGAAGTTAATTAAATAGCTCCAAAAGCAATACAATTGAGATGTGGCAAGGCCAGAACTCAAATCCAAGTCTTTCTAACTTAAAAAACCAACTCAGACTGCACAAGGAGAATACATATAAGGATCAAGGCAGGCTATGGTCCCACTGACCCTCCACTTTACCTTGAGAGATGTAATCAATATTTATCAAGAATTTCTCTGTGCAAGGCCCTGCACTTGGAGAATATCTAAAAATGAACCTAGACTACCATTTCCAAGAAGACAGAACAGATGTAGACTTCCCTATTTTTCCCATCAAGAACAACTAAAAACCCTGTATAGTAAAACAGACATAAGAATGCTCTAAAAGGAGATTAGACTGATTGACTGATTGACTGGGGACCTTGGGACCCAAGGGAAAAACATGCTGGTGCTGAGAAAAAATAACTTCAGTCAACCCAGAATCCTATACCCTGGGGCTGTATTTTCCAGGAATGAGGAGGAAACCAAGACATCCTCAGAAAAGGTAGAGTAAAACAACCCATAGCCAACAGACCAATGTTAAAAAAATGGTTTTAAAAAGTTGTCTAGCTGAAACTGGTTTGGCTCAGTAGATAGAGCGTCAGCCTGCGGACTGAAAGGTCCCAGGTTTGATTCCGGTCAAGGGCATGTACCTGGGTTGCGGGCATATCTCCAGTAGGAGATGTGCAGGAGGCAGCTGATCGATGTTCCTCTCTCATCGATGTTTCTAATTCTCTATCTCTCTCCCTTCCTCTCTGTAAAAAAATCAATAAAATATATTTTTTTAAAAAGAAAAAGTTGTTTAAACAAAAAGAAAATGGTGAAAGGAACCAGAAAAGAGGAGGAAGGAAAGCTACAAAATATATATATATATAAAATAGGCTTTCATTCTCTTTAATTTTCTAAGTTATTTGACAGTTTAAGGAAAAAAAATATTTTTTTATTAATCCTCACCCAAGAATTTTTTTTATTTTTGAGAGTGGACGGGAAGCAGGGAAGACAGAGAGAGAAACATCCCTGTGACCAGGCCAGGGATAAAGCCTACAAACAAGGTATCTAACCTGGAATCTCACTGGAGACCTTTCTGACTGAGTGCTGGCACTCTATCCACTGAGCCAAACCAGCTAGGGCTGAAGCAAAAATTATAACAGTGATGGTCAGATATGGTTCTAAATATATGCAGAGAAAACACTTAAAATTATATAAAAGTGGGGCGAGATAAAAGGATGAAAAGAGGAGCATGTCAAGAGTATTCCAAGAGGAGAGTATGCGAAGCAGAAAGACACTGAGCCCAGATAAAGATTACGTCGAGGAGACATCAAATAAGTCCGGTGGTTCTAGAAGATAATTCACTTTTCTCTACACTCGTCCCCATATACCACACTACCTGTGATTTCTACATTGAGGTTACATCACCCATTAGGATGAAGCTCCACAGGACAATGATTTTTGTCTAATTCCGCACTGCTCCATCCCCAAGTCTAGAACAATGGCTGACATAGGTAGGCAGTCTACAAATACCTGTCAAATGAGTCAGTGAATGAGTGAATAACAGAAGACTAGAGAGATAGGTTGGGGCCAAAGCAACCCCCGCCACACACCACCACCAAAATCCTAAAAGCAACCCTCAAACAACAAGCCTTAATTGGAGCTTAAGGAGTAAATGGATACTGGAATAGATCAATTACATCCTATCATAATTCCTAAATGTCATTCAAAGCTCCATTACTTTAGGTCTCTTATATGGGCCGGGAACTGTGGCAGGTATTGTGCATACATAATCTTTATTCTTCACCCTCTGAGATGTGGAGAGAAGTGACTGGCTCAAGTCCCTCGGCTGGGAAAACGGGCAGTCCAGAACTGAGCCCTGACATACCCAACTCTAAAGAACTTACTAGTTCAAGGGCATCGATACTGCCTGGAATTTATTAATAAGGTTCATTTTATCATTTATTTCATAATTTAAGTGTGAAGTGCACTTCCCAAATAATTGCACAAAAAGTGGAGATTTTTCAGTAACTCACAAACAGTCACGTACCTTTGCGGAGGCTTGGTCATATTGTGCTGTTGTTCTCACCAGTTCATCCCTGCTTTTATTCAAAACTTTCTCCTTTTCATTTAATTCCACCTTTGCTTTCTCCAGTTGGAGCTGTAGTTCTTGCCATTTATTCACTTGGCCTTTCATTTCTTTTTCTTGTCCTTGTAGACGCAGTTCCAACTCACCAATCTTGCCCCTTAGCTCTTAAATCACAAACAAAACCCATACTTCAATTAACATATACTTTCCACAAAAAACTTACAACTCAATTCAGAATTTATCATTTATGTCACTCGGCTCTGAAATCTTTGGTGAGACAAACACAAGTCAATTCACATTAAACACAGAAGCTACTTTCATTGGATTTAATTTCAGTGGTTAGTCTCTATTATTACTTATATTAAATAACTTATAAAAAGCAGGAGAAATAAATTTTCTTCCTATCAGAGAAACCTGGGGTAGAAAAAATGCTTTTCTAAAATCGTGACTGTTACCTAATCGAGGCTGCAAAAAGTGCATCACATATAACACCCTTACTTAAATTACCACCTGGTTTTACACACTGGCAGACTAATATGTGTTCTGTGCCCACTTCAATGCAAGTAAGTGATAAACAGTGAAAAATTCACCCTCCCATATCCTGGGGTAGCTTTACCTCCACTAAAGATCAAGACAGTGTGAGCCTCCTATACTGCCAAAAGTAACAGTAATTTTTTCTCATTTTCCCCCCACATACACACACTATTGGTTCCAATGGCATTGGCAGTGTGACAGCTCTCACCAGTGAACACTGACGGTGATTTTCAATATATCATAGCCCTGGAAATTATCGTAGTCTGCAGAGAAGATTCCAAAGCACCACCTGGTACCCTTGGCTGTCAGCTGCAGCGTGGTGCAGCAGCCAAGGTTACAGGTTTGCTCCCATATGGACAAGCTGGCAGCACAGAGCAAAGCTGTTCTGCAGACACATGCCACACCTCTGGCCCAAACCGGCCAGAACACAGGCTGTTCCATGGGGCACAAAGGAGCCAGATGAGAAGCGTGGGGAGTGTCGACCAACCTACTCACCCGGCTTCTGGAAAGATAATCAAAGCCATTCATCCTACTTCTGAAGGCTTCAGGGGCCCAGCTTTTTAGTACAAATCAAGATACACTCCAAAACTGTGATATCTTTTCTCATTATTGAAAAGACAGTATTTAAGCCCTAACCGGTTTGGCTCAGCGGATAGAGCGTTGGCCTGCAGACTCAAGGGTCCCAGGTTCAATTCCGGTCAAGGGCATGTACCTTGGTTGCGGGCATATACCCAGTAGGGAGTGTGCAGGAGGCAGCTGATTGATGTTTCTCTCTCATCGATGTTTCTAACTCTCTATCCCTCTCCCTTTCTCTCTGTAAAAAATCAATAAAATATATTTTAAAAAAAAAAGAAAAGAAAAGACAGTATTTAACATCATCAGACTGGGATGCTCACCACTGATGTGTCTAACAAAACACATCAGCACTTTCTAAGACCAAAAATGCCTGGAATCACCTCTAAAATTATCTCAGGAAAATTTAAACTTAGTTTACCTTGATTCTGGGCTTTTAATTGATCCAAAAGATGAGAATTGCTAGAATTATCACAGAAGCTGCTGTTAGCATCTCTTTTCCCTGCTTGCAAAGTTGATCTACTCGGAGTCACCTCTTGTTCCCCAGAGAAGTGAGATGCAGAGAAATCTCTCCTACTCGGAGTTTGTAGAGCACTAGAAGAAAGACGACTTGGGGTCTTTTCTTGTTGCCATGAGAACACAGACGACGAGGCCTGGTGTCGGGCAATGTCCCGGTGATTCATGGTGTTTTGTGGAATAGCCTGGCTCGCTTTCTGTTAAGATAGAAACTCTTTAGAAATCAATATTCAAGACTACTTATTTTCAAATAGAACATAAAGTCATGCCAAGAGGTTATCATCTCCACTAGGTACCAAGAAAGAACATTCATCAAGTCAAGGGAACCATTAAGCTCCAATACCCAGTGAGATTTTCTAAAGGTCAGGCCAGCACTGAAGGGTTAAGCCAGTGCTACTGAGGCCCATTCTATTTCACACGAGCTCAGTTTTCGTATTTAGCTTACATCCCTCAAATATTCCATTAAACACGTGAGTATTCACTGCAATTTTGAATTCTGAAATTTGATTTTTTTCCCCATCCTTGGTCATACCCACTCTCCCTACCCCCGCAGTAGCTTTACACAAAGAGAATGAAAATTAACCTAAAAAACTTTCAAGAATCTCACTTTCCACCATACCACTCCCCCGAAAATGTCCAAAAGATATTTTATGTTATACAATAGGCATCTATGGATTTTCCTAATGCTTTGGATTTTTTTGTTCTTCTTTCAGGCCCCACTCTGACAATTAAAGACACGGCTGTCGATGCTACATTTCATTTTTTATAGCAAATGCTTTCCTTGCCACAGGGAGAGGTTTAATGTTTATGGAGACTCCCACTCCCCCACAGAATAGCTGGGAATCAGGGGCAGAATTGATAACAATGACTGAACTAGATAATGAAGCATATGCTATTTCTAGGATAAACTATAGAATTATTAATAATTATTCATCTTCATAAGCAATGCTGTCACGAATGAAAATTCTGGTGACTCCAAAACAAAGGCACAAAAAGAATTAAAATTGTTAAATCTCTATTAAGAACTTCCAATCCTCAATATTTAAGGTATCTACTTATAAATTTGTCATTCAACTATCTGCAAAATTGTGGTTTCTTATCAAGTTCTTATGTTTAGCAGAAATACAATACACTATTAAGTGCCAAAATGTACTTTTTAAAGAAATAATATCACATGAGAAAAATGGTGAAGGAAAATTCTAGACACCAGGTATTTCAGAGTAAGTCCCTAAACTAGAAGCAAGGGTTTCTAAAACACGCATTTTTTTTATTTTGTTGACATTAAACAAATCTCTCTATCCATCTCTCTCTGCTCATTTATACATATCAAAATGAAGATTAAAACCCTTGCCAGCAACTTACTTAAAAGAATGGGGGAGATATTGAAAACATTCTCCTCTGAAATAAACATTTCATAAATAAGGATCCTCAACCCCAGGACCCTGGCAGCAATCACCACAGTCCTTCAGAGGAACCGACTATGAAGCCACTTCCTCCAGGTGACAACCCCAGTGTCGGAAGAACTGGTCCTACCCTCTCCAAACATGACTCTTATCATTAGACCTTAATAGGGAAATAAACATATTGCTAGTTTCTATGGCATTTGGTGAACATTTAACATTTAGAGATAATGCAATCTTCCACTCTATTTTATTCACTCTTTACCTATTTTTAAATTAAGAACTATCATAACCAGTGAGCCAGGAACTTTATTTTTCTTTGTATAAGAAAAATGTACCAGCTCTACACGAAGCAGATTTTTCTAACCTTGTTCTAGCCTGTATCAAAGTGCTTTCTTGACTGCATACTCTGTTATAAGGCCCATACTTGACTTACTTTTGCCTGCCAGGCTTTCACTTCTGCCTCTAATCTTTTTCGTTCTTCAACTTCTTTATTATATTTTTCTTTTAGATCTTCATATTTGGAACCTAAACACAGACAAGGAGATAACAGTTTTACTGTGATCATTGATTCCGTGAAAGAATTCTCAGATCAATAATGAATGTAATAGATAGCTGAGAAATGACTACCTTAGTACACCAGAAAGAACATTTCAGTTCTGGCAACAAATACTGATCAAATTACTCAAGTATCAAAATCCATGGAAACACAGGTGCTTTGAATATTCTGGAACTGAATTACTTTTGAAACACACCATAGAAGGATAAAGTGAAAAGTGTAAGCCAGTCAACAAGTCTGCTACCTGAGTGTGTTTCTGCAGAAATTTAGAAGAAGATGGCAACAGTGGACATTGAGGTCATTACGTTCCCTGAAAATGGGAGCTTCCTTTAAAGCTTCCCTATAATTAGTGCTAACAACTTGGTGGAATTCCTATGTCAGCAAAAAAAATTTTTAAGCCCTGGCCAGTGTGGCTCAGTTGGGTTGGAGCATTGTCTTGCAAACCGAAAGGTGGCAGGTTCGATTCCCTTTCAGGGCACCGACCTGGGTTGTGGGTTTGATCCCTGGTCAGGACATACGGGAGGCAACGAATTGATGTTTCTCTCTCTCAAATAAATAAAAGACATATCCTCGGGTGAAGAAAAAGAAACGTTTAAGTAAAATGCATAAAGACTTATTAACCTAATGTCTCAATATAATTCAACAGATAAACAAATGTATATGTTATAGCAAGTACCTGCATTTTTTTTTTAATGCCCAGATAAAAATTTAATTCAAAGTTGAATTAATTCATTTCTTTGGCAGAAATGAAATCTCAATAAAAGAACTATTTATAGGAAGGGAAAAAATCCTTACCACTATAATACTGGCTTGGCGTTAGTGGAGTTGTGAATATTTTTTGTGGTGTATTGCATGGATTCAGAGAGACATCTGCAGACTGTGCAGCTTGCTGGCTTCTTTCAAGTTCAGATTTACACCTGTTAGAAAAGGACCCAAGAGGGACGCCAAATCAGAGCGAAAGCTACAGAATGCCAACACCATACATTCCCAGAGAGCAATAACCTGACAAAACCCACCCTAAGAATTCTAACCTCTTCGTTTACCCAACAGACATTTAATTAAACTGGCTTATGTGACAGACACACAAACTCAGTCTAGTCAGGGAAACAGAAATATAAACCAATAAATACAATGTCATAAAGGCTATACAGAAGATCTGTAATACCCACTATATAGTACAAGCAAGAACTGGGAGGCTGGGGATATATTCCAAGTAAATTTTACATTTGAAGTCACAGGGATATAAAGAACCCAGAACTTCAGAAACATAGAAAACTGGTATCCCTGACGCTTGGGCTGAAATCACAAAACTGGATGGCATATGTTATCCAGACATGACAACAGCATAAGATGTGATATATGTACCATGTGCTTTATGGTATTTTTAAGACAGATATAAAAATCAAGTTAACATACTGCATAAATATATGACTGAAAACAGTTATAAAGAAATGGGGAAAGTAAGCTATATATTGTATATATGTACAAAGTCTCCCTACCACTTCAGTTCTGAGCAACTTTCAGAATCAAGCAACCTAAGTTAAAAGAGGATTCAATTCTCGCAAGTCTCTCATGTCGCTGACTTTCGCTTAACACAGAAATATAATGAACATCCTATTAGGATGGCTAGCAATGTGCACCATTCTTTTTGCCATGGGCGCATTCCTCAAAGCAGAGGGTGAAGAAAGTGCCTCGGTGCCCTAGCTCCCCCAGCCCCAACTTCAACCTGGGAAGAAGCAATGTAAGAGCTGGAAATGACTGCTCAGCAAAGCAGAGCTCAGATTTGTACTGTCGGTAGGTAGAACAGTACTGTTCAATAGAAATGTCCCATTCACATAAAAAAAAGTAACAAGAAATAAGTGGATTTCATCTCAATATTTAACTCGATGTTTTCTAGACTGTCATTTCAACTTGTAATCAATAAATTATTAATAAGGTATTTTCTATTTTTTTTTTTTTTTTTTTTACTAAATCTTCAGCACCTGGAGTACATCTCAGTTTTCACTAACCACATTTCAAGAGCTCAACAGCCACATGTAGCAGTGGCTACCTTATTGGACAGTGGAGGCGTATCTACAGACTACCTAAGTGTCCAAGGCTGGTAATTCCAGAGGTGAATTTTGAAAAACCTTGAAAAGTCGGGGTTACCCAACTTTTCCCTACCCTTCCATCACTTCAAATATTAAATGAAAGTGTACCCTATTCTTTATAAACCTGTGTTTCTCCATTTCCTTAGGGCAAAGCACAAACCATCCCACCACCAAAAACAGCTCTCAATGAGGATGTTCCCTGTTAAGTTTAACTGCACGAGACTGCCAGTGGCCAGCAGTTTCCGATCAACATGTCACAGGGTTCAAGCTGACATGTTCGAGATGTTTCTGAAACATCTGTGGATACTGATGGAGAAATTGAGCTCCTGCCCTGCACTTGAAGGTTATCAGTGAGAATTTAAACACTATACTTAATAGTTCTCGTAGTCTAGTCTTTATACTCTTAACGGTTTCTAGACTATGGAAAACTATACTCTTAATAGTTGTTATAGTCCAGACAGCGTGGCTCAGTGGCTGAGCATCGACCTATGAACCAGGAGGTCAAGGTTCAATTCCCAGTCAGTGCACTGTTTGGTTGCACACTAGGCTTGATCCCCAATAGGGAGTGTGCAGAAGACAGCCGATCAATGATTCTCTCTCATCATTGATGTTTCTCTCTCCCTCTCCCTTCCTCTTTGAAATCAATAAAAAAAAAATATTTTTAAACGAAATGAGCAACCATTTAATGAATCTATATAGTACTGAGCTATGCAATGATAGGACTGAAGTATATAAGAATCAATTTTCCTGAGATCATGGTTTTTTTCCCACTGGGAAAAATAATTGCATCCCTAAAGGAAAAGAGAAACACATCTGATGAATACACACAGACATCTATATAAATACCATTTAAAAAATTACCTTTTAAGTTCCTGTTCCAGTTTCTCTATTTGTTTCTTGCTTGAACTCAGCTGTCCCTCTTGGAAATTCATTTGTGACTCCTTGACTTGAAGTTCGTGAGAAATCTTCTGCTTAGCCTTCTCTAGGTTTTCACAGATTTCCATCAAGCTTTGATTCTCCCTTTTCAGGTTTGTGCCCTCTGTTTTTTCATTCTCAACCTAACAGGGATTATTTAAAAGGAAAGAGGTCTCTACTTCGTGAACTTGCCGGGTAGGATTTGTAAACCTGAGCTTAATTCTGACGACTAATTTTCTGAGACAGGGTTGTAATAATCCAGTGGCAAAGCTTGATGAATGCAGATATTTAAATGACCTCCCTTTAAGCCTCTAGAAAGAAAAGTCCTACAAAGTCATGCATTACATTACCTTTGGTCGGGGCTACACGCTCCCTTCCTAGAAAAGCTTTCGTATGCTCTCAAGAATTATAACAAACAAACAAAAATAAGCCCTAAACATCTTCCTTGGCAACTCATTTTCAAATCTGACTGCTAAAATCCGTTATTGCAAGAAACTGGAAAATTATCCCACTGGCAAAAACATTTTAGAAGCAGTAACTGTATCACCACTTTGCTGGTTAGTGAAGAGATAAGAAAGAAAGACTGTTGACGTTTTCATTTACTAGCCCTTGAAGAGAGAGGTCTGGGAATATCACGTTGAAAAGCCCACGCTCAAAAAGTGGTTGCTATTTGGATCACAAAGTGTTCTATCCTGTCCCCCCTAAATATAAGCAGGTAAGCAGAAACGAGGGCAGAGGATGGAGAAAAACGAGGTAACTGAAATTAAAATGACTCTAAAAAGGAGAGGGGTCATTACCACCTAAAGATATAGCAAAATCATTTTGCTCAAAATCCAACAGGCCAAGATGAAACAATGCACCCACAGAACCAGTGCACAGCTGTAAACACCAGCGTTTCAGGGGTACCTTCTGCTTTTGTTTCTGCAACGCAGCCTCCAGAGTTTCCAGCTGAAACTGCCTTTGCTGCCTCTCTTTCTTCAGCTTGTCCAGCTGCCCTTCGAGCTCTTGGATTTTCTGAAGAGCTCTTGTAGGCAGGCCTTCTTTCCATTCTTCCAAGGCCCAGCTCATTTTGACTCCTTTCTTTGTTATTCAAACATCTGTAAGTAAACTGAAGGGAAGAACCGGACTGTTGATCTAAGTATAGCGAGGAAAAGGACCCTTGAAGTCTCAGAGATTAATGAGTCTACAGAACCACTCTAAGAATCAAGTCTGAAAACTTCTCACTGCAAAAGATGACAAGGCATCACATCTGTCTTCCCCACCCTCTGAACGGTGATTACCAATAAACCTGATTGTAAAGTACACAATACGCTTGTTTGGCATCCCCTTGCTTTCTGTTTTTATTTCTCCTTTTTGGCTTCTTAGATTGCTACCTGCTTCCTACTGCTGTTTGTTTCCATTATATAAAATATGAATATTTTGCCATAATGTTTTTGGGTGAAGTGGGTCCTATAAGCAAATAAAATACACAAGTTATTTTGTAAATGCTCTTTCCCGCCCCCCTCTTCATGCCCTCAATTCCCACTGCCTTTGTCCCTCTTCCCCTGGGAGATCCACAATCTGGTCATAGTTTCTCATGACACAGGCACCCCCCTCACCTTCCCAGCTCTCATTTGTTGAAATAATGCATGACTGGCAAAGCTATCACTACATATTAGTACTAGAACTAATATGCAGTCAAGTCATGCTGCAGACAGACCTTGACCAGGAAACAGTGACCTTGGGCATGTCATTTAACTTGCTCTGTGCAGAGGTTTTCTCCTTTGCAAAAAAAGGGATAATAATGACGGCAACTTCCTACAGCCTTAGAACAATTTCACATTTCTGTATTTCAGCTTATGGTACCAAAAGGGAAGTGGCCTACCTCCTTCTCAGCCAAATCTTAGGACATTTAAATCAGCTGGGGGAAAAGCATGGTAACTGTTCTTTATTAGTCTTTAGTACTTAAGTGAAAGAAAAAAACATTCATTTTCCAGTTATTTTGGCAACAGGGTGAGGATTTTTTTTACTAAATGAAGCCCAAAACCATGTTAGTGTTTTATTTCAATTGACTGTGTCAATGAAATTTTTTATCAGAATAACTAATAAATAGTTGATGAAAGTAGTAAAAATGATTTTAAAAAAAGATTATTAAGAGAGAGAAGCAAAGATCTGGGAAAACAATTTAGATATCATATCACACTTTGGAAAGCAGTGTTTTCTCTGCCTGTTTATTAATTCTTTTGCTTCCAGATGTCAGTTCTTTGAACGCAGCATCTTAAACTCCCCTCCCATTTGCCCAAACAACTCCTGAAGGGAGTCTCAAGCCTCTCCACCAACAAAGGACAATTTACACTGTCCCAATAGGCTTGCCCATTCAGGGATGGGGGTACGGATCCCAGAGGCACTCGCTGCGACTGACCTCAACAATTCTGCCCATCACTGAAATCATAACACCAAGACGCCGCAGACATTGCAATTTTAAGGAGCAATTCAGAAGGATGACAGAGATGAGGTTATGAAATAAGCAAGGAAGGCTGGCATGTCCGATGCCTTTCCAATTCAAAAATCTAAGATACAGCTATAAAGGGGTTAAAGCAACTACCAGACCCGGGCTAATTGTGATTAGAGCAGACTTCTTCTCATTAAGGCATCAAGAATCTGTATGGAGCCACTGGGGGGGGGGGGGGGAACAAAAAATATGTAAACCTTAAAAATAAAATGTAGAGGGCAAAGGATGGGGAACGGGGCGGGGGCTTGGTGTAGAAAAGCCTTGCAAGTCAAGGTTCCTGCAAAGAGGATTCGCAGGACTATCGTCCTTCCCAGAAAAATGCTCCATCTCAGATATTTGCAGGACCCTCTTCATGCCCGAGTCACCCAACCCCGAAAAGTGCCCGAGGAAGCTGACTTGTGACTCATCAGACCCCAGCACTGCAGGCCCATTGGTACGCCTTCTCTATACCAGAATTCCCCGTTTCCCCCAAGAAACCCCAGCTCCCGCCTCCAGGGCCACTGCTGAGCCGGAGAATGCAAACACCCGCTCCTGCGGACCACGCTCACGGCCGGGACTCACGCCATCTACTTCTGGTTCCTCTAACAGAGCAGAGCCCGGAGCACAAATGCGTCCCCTTAAAGCAGTGGTTCTCAACCTTCCGAATGCCGCGACCCTTTAATACAGTTCCTCATGTTGTGGTGACCCCCAATTCATTGTTACAAATTGAACATAATTAAAGCATAGTGATTAATCACAAAAAACAGTATAATTATATATGTGTTTTCCGATGGTCTTAGGCGACCCCTGTGAAAGGGTCGTTCGACCCCCAAAGGGGTCGCGACCCACAGGTTGAGAACCGCTTAAAGGGGAAGGCAACCGGGACGTGCTCTCAGGACTTACCAGCAGCGCCGCCGCTCAGGCCAAAACCCACGCTCGCATCTCTCCAGGCCACCCGGACCCACGTCCGCCTATCAGATGGGAGCCCCTGGCTCCTGTTACAGGAAATGCACGCTCACCTCCAATTCCTTCACCTCACAGACTTGGAAACTGAACCCCCGAAGTGCGAGCTCAGGACCGAGCGGGGTCTCGGGACCCTCGTGCGAGCACTTTCTCCAGGCGGGTCAGGTGGGAGGGGGCGGTCCGCTGCCCCTCCGGGGCCCGGGAGCGCAGTCCCACAGGCATCCCCGCCCCGTCCCCCACGCCCGCCGCGGGGCCGGGACCCACGCAGGACGCTCACCTTACCGGCCGGGAAGGAGACACATCCCCTCGCAGAGTCGGTGCCGGCGCAGCCTCCGCGGCTCGGAGCCCAGACCCCGATTCAAACTGCCCGCGGCCGCCACCCGTTCACGATTCGCCCACTTCCGGTCGCGACCAAACCCGCGTCCAAAGCTATTGGTCGCTGTAAGCAGCGGTGGACCAATCCGCTTCCGCGCTCTAGGGCCGCCGCCTTTGATTGGTCATTTCGGATGGATTTAAAAATCAAGACTCCCCCCTCCCCTCCACGTGAGGTACCGGCGCCGGAGTTCCACTGCTTTTTTGTTGTTATTGTTGAAAAGAGGGGGGGCGGAGCCCACGTGCTTTCGCTGGAGGAAGTTTTGAACCGCTTTTTCCGCAAAAGCGTGGGGACCCGGCCTCTGATTAGGCGGGTGTGGTCTATCACCTGCTGTCAGCGGGAGAGTGCTCTCTGGTGAAAACATTTAATACTGCACCTGCTTTTCTACTTGTTTATTACACATCATAATGTATGGCATCGATACTTGGCGCTGTGCTTGCCATGCATTCTTCACCCAGTGTCATTCTGGATCATTCTTTTAGGTAAGGCTTCTCATTTTATTTGAAAGTTAAGCGAGGCACATAAAAGCTATGTGATTTGACATTGAACCCAGGACCTCTTAACTACTGTCCTTTATTGATCATGGATCATATTCTTTTTTGTTTTAACCCCGCCCCCTCTGCTCTTCGTAGCAACCCCTCCCTCCCCTGCATTGATTATATTCTAAAGAGGGATTCCACAGGAGGGCATTGAAGCCAGAAGAATCTCCAAAAAGGTGTAATCTCTCTTTATGAAGCCCACTGTTTTGCGTGTGTTTATGTACTTGTTTCATTTCCTAATTCAACTAAAAAAGAAGCTCCTGAAGGCAGGGGCAAAACAATGAATTGTCTTTTTAAAAAATACATATGTATATATGTACATTATTGATTTCAGAGAGGAAGGGAGAGGGAGAGAGAGAGAAACATCAATGGCAAGAGAGAATAATTGATCAGCTGCTTCCTGCACGCCCCCTACTGGGGATCGAGTCCCCAACCCCAGCATGCATGCGCCCTTGACTGGAATCGAACCCAGGACCCTTCAGTCCACAGGCCAACACTGTTCACTAAGCCAAACCAGCTAGGGTAAATAGTTAAATTAATATATCTCTGCTGGTGTTATGCTCCTCAATAGAGTCTACATTTTGTGTAAACCTCTCTCTACCTTTCCTTAGACAGCACAACCTATATTGCCCCTGACCTTTCACTGAAATGCTACTTCTTCAGAACCCAATTCAAATGTCATTTTCTTCATAAAACATTCCTATCCTCACCCACCCTCTTAGAAATAATTACTTCCAAGAAATATAATGCTTACACATTATATTTATTTATATGTCTGGTTCCCCACCAGACTGAAAAATTTCTATAGAGTAAAATCTGTTTCAGTTCGTCCTTGTGTCTCTTGCAATTCCCTATACTTCGCGCATACAGTCTAGTATCTGGTCATTCTGGGATTCTAACCAAATTCTGACTCCAACACCAATTACAAACCCGTTGCTTCCCAGGTTATTATTCAACTACTAGTGACCCAGTGCACGGATTCATGCACATTGAAGGAAAATTAATTAGAATTTGGCCGGCGGGACTGGGCTAGACAGGCCGGACACACCCTGGAGCCAACCCTCTGTGGTTTCTCCTCTGCGTCTGCAGAGTGAGCGGGGTCCCTCCAGTAGGTGGGGTCCCTCCACCTGGCCTGTGGGGATTGGGCCGAAACCGGCTCTCTGACATCCCCGAGAGGTCCCGGAATGTGAGAGGGCACTCTGCAAAGTTGTTGTTATACAGGGTGTGGAACACAAATGCAAGTGTGCAGTAAACCAGATTCAGGCCGACAGTGCCCCAGCAACAACATAACCCATGGCTGAAGGTGGAACTGCATGGCCCCGCAAGGAATTGGGCTCCCTCCTCTCTGGTTTCAGGGTGCATCACCCAAGAACTGCCGCTGCCAAGTCACTGCAGCTTGGCAGCTCCTGCATTGAGCATCTGTCCCCTGGTGGTCAGTGTGCGTCATAGCGACCAGTCAGACGGACAGAGGGACACTTAGCATATTAGTCTTTTATATAGAGAGATTTGTTAGCTGCCTAAAGAAAACAGAAATAGCCTCACCAGTTTGGCTCAGTGGCCTGCGGACTGAAGGGTCCCGGGTTCGATTCCAGTCAAGGGCATGTACCTTGGTTGCAGGCACATCCCCAGTGGGGAGTGTGCAGGAGGCAGCTGATCGATGTTTCTCTCTCATCGATGTTTCTGACTCTCTATTCCTCTCCCTTCCTCTCTGTAAAAAAAAAAAAAATCAATAAAATATATATTTTTTAAAAAAACAGAAATAGAAAGACATGTAATAGAGAATTTTGAATGAGAAATTTACACTTGCTATTAGATGTCTACTGAGTGGCCACTCTATAGCCAAGCCTTGTGCTATGATCTTCTGTAATAAATAGTGAAGAAATACATTCACTTCTTGAACAGTTATGTGATGGAAACTATTCTAGCAATTTCTGTGATATTTCTACACTTTGATTTTTTTTTTAAAGTTTATTTAGAAATTCACAGAGGTAGAAGTGAGCCAGCTGGGCTGCATAGACTCAGGAAATAAGTTCCAGGGGCAAAAGAAGGGTCCTTGGGGCTTAGGAGAGAGAGAAGCAGAGAGACGGAGACAGACCCAGCAAAGGTAGTCACCTGCCTTGAGGAAAGACGAGGGGGAAAACTGTGGGCGTGCTTCAGAGAGGGTGCCCCTGGGAAAAGAAATGGGTGGGACAAGGTGACAGCGTGCTAGAGAGAGAGAGAAAGCCTGGCTGGCATGGCTCAGTGGTTGAGCGTAGACCTATGAACCAGGAAGTTTCGGTTGGATTCCAGGTCAGGCCACATGCCCGGGTTTCGGGCTTGATTCACAGTAGAGGACATGCAGGAGGCAGCTGATCCATGATTCTCTCTCATCACTGATGTTTCTATCGCTCTCTTCCTCTCCCTTCCTCTCTGAAATCAATAAAAATATATTTTAAAAAATACAAAGGCAAGTGGAGTAGGTTAAGGTGTGTTCTATAGCAAGTACTTTGATGGCATCCCCTTGGCCCACCTTGATTGCAGCCACAGCTGTGGTAGGTAGGTAGTTCTGTGTGGGCTCAGACTGTTTCCTCCTCAAGTGCAAGCCATGGATCACTCTAGTCCCCTGCTCTAGAACTTTCTCTGAAACTGAGGAAGCCTGCTAAGCCAGTATACAAGAACAGCCAGGAATTTTGAGGGCAGTTAGAGCTTCCAGGGGCGATCCTCAATGAGTGGGATCAGGAACTAGCAGATAAATAAAGGCCTTGTGTTGCACCTTTCACGTGGGCTGTTCTGAGAGATCCCGGAAGAATCAAACCCCTGGCACCGACCACAACAATTGTGAAACGGCACCCTTCGGCTGGCTTTTCCTCCTTCCCTGTCACTCTCCCTTCTCCTCACTTTGCTTCCTGGAATCATCACCCAACCTAACTTCCGTCTAAGTCCTTATCTCAGTCTCTGCTTTGGAGAGAACCCAAACTATACATATGATTTATTATTTTCACGAGTGAAAAATCCATCTTGGTCTCCCAAATGTATCAGGAGCTTCTGTTATGTAGATGGAACCTCACCTACCTCACCTGTGATATTTATTCGAAGTGTAATTATAATAGATCTGCTTGGTAGCAGGTGGATTTAGACCAGGGTTTTCTGGTAGATAAGGGTTATGCTTGTTTTGTGCATATCTGGACTTCTTTTGACTAAAGTACTGGTGAACTTAACACATTCTTTGGGACAAGAATTTCAAAGCTGGATGTTAAGGAATTTTTGAGAAGGAAAGAAAAGCTTAGGGTGGTAAATATTTCATATTCAACATATTCATATGATTTAAATAAAGTTGATTACAAAAAAATATTCTACATTTTGTTGTTGTTTTTTAATTGATTTTAGAAAGAGAGGAAGGGAGAAAGGGGTCAAGAAAGAGACATCGATGCACGTACCCTGACCAGGGATCAAACTGGAACCTGGATATGTGCCCTGACCAGGAATCGAACCGGAAACCCTTTGGTGCACTGGATGACACTCAACCAAGTGAGCCAAGGCTATATGTTTTAAGCAAATTGATTACAAACCATATGGACACTACTCAGTGACATGAACTAAAGCACAAGAAAAAGGATCTTGAACTTTTAAAAAGCTTTTTCTATTCCAACCACTAGGTGATTCCCTATGCCTTGAAAAATCTTTAAAAGTAACTGCTGCCCCACCCCCTGACTCACTGCATTTTCTTTTCTATCTCCCTCTGTCTCTCTCTTCCTTCAATGTATCTAATGTTCTTGTTTACTTTGTTTTAATATAACATTTGTTTATTTAGAGTAGAGGAAAACCACAGAAAAAATAATGGTTCATAACCCTTCTGCTTATATAATCTTTCCTATTAACAAAGTAAGAACACATGCACATAATAAGAAATTCCAAACATTCAAGAAAGATATAAAAGGTGAACTTGGGAAAGTAGAACAAACATTGAATTCCCTCTAGACTGAAATCCTCATTTTGTAGCTGAGGTCAATGAGATTGAGCTGTTTTCAAAAATTCACAGGCCAAAAAAAAAAAAAAAAAAAAAAAAAAAAAAAAAAGCAAGTAAAGAAAACAGCTTAAACAGATAAACCCTCATTATTCTGCAATCAATTACCTTATAAAAATTCAAAACACACTCTAATGAGCCTTGAAGCAGTAATTTTATGAATAAAGTGGCATTATTTAGATAATTTTAAATTTTCAGTAGCATTTCTTAGGGAAAAAAAATGCTTACGTGGTGATTATTTCTTCCAAAGTGTTAAAATCAATGTTTATTATATTTTCTATTCCTTTGTTGGAAACCTGATGCCCAAAGAAAGAAAGTGGCTGGTATAGGCCCAAGGTTCCAAAACGACAATATACATATAGTCAAAAGTCAATCTCTCAACTTGCTAGACAAGTTTGTTCAAGGAGATGACAGTTCAATTGGTCTCCAGCTCATTTTCAATAATAGTTTTGATCCAGGTGTTAGTTTCACCATGAAAT